AATGCATGACTGCGCATTTGTAAATGTTTGCAACGGCAAACAGATCTAGGGGCGCGTCAAAATAATGATTTTCGCCGCAAGGTCCACCTCCCCACCGGATACGCCGGAGAGCGCCATCCAAGTCATCCTGGTACACATGACGATAAACATTTCGGTTAGAGGCAATTTCGCTGTACATCAACTCACGCACCAAACCGTAGTTGTCTTCGCCCATTTGAAAAACATCAGCCACGACCCGGAATCCGCAGTTACCATCTCCGATTACATCATTCCACCCTTCCACGTACGACATGATGATCGCAGGTATCCTTTCCTTGTACGGAAACTGATCAACATCGTTTCTTCCTATTCACCAAATAATTAATTATAGACAGTTAAGAAGACAGGAGTAACACTTTAAAACTATGTGCAATAAAAACAACCAAAACGTACCAGTTCTCAGGGGCATATTCACAGACGATGAAGATTGACTACGACTAGATGACGATGTCCGACCACGAGAACGACCACGACCAAGACCACGGATATACTCAAACGCACTCCTGTTCCGCCGTTGTCGACCTCGAGGACGGTCAACTCCTTCGGGTTCCTCATAATCTAAGTTAGACGGGTGGAACATGTCATGAAGCACATGAGTAGCGTCACGAATAATAGAAGGATGGCTGGAGGACACTCGGTCGTACATCGAACGGAACTGCTCCAACTCTTCCTGTTCACGGTCGGCCGTTTGATTGTCTGCATGCTCACCAATAACAAGCGTCCTCCAGAATGAATGGACCTGATCAACATGTAACGACGCCCTTTCTTCTGTAATAACGCGATGAATGGTGCATGCGCAAGGTAATCCATGAGTTACTGAAATAGTACACCCACACCGAGTATACACTTCGTCAGCCAAGTCCCTCACCCTGTTCAGCTCGGTGAGAATCAACCCCAAGCAGTAGTGCGACACACGACCATGGAGAATCTTAAATATAAAATGGCTATACATCGTACCATGTCGTCGTCTGGAGTCCTCTAGAGAGTTCCTGATGTCGTTCTTCTGAGTTTCAATTGACTTGTTCAGTCTAGCGAACAGTGTATCCAAAGCAGCGGTCGATGAATCAATCCAGTCCTTGGTAGCTCTATGAGCGCTCTCAACTCTACATGTTGTAGTGTTCCCAAAATGAAGTACCTGGTTTGTCCAATATTTGACAAACTTTTCCCTATGAGGGACCCATTGATGCATCACATAGTCCACCAGTGCCGGACACCACTGGTACGAATCCCTGAAGTTAGCCAATGCTCGCTCATACGCTTCCTCTGTGGTAGCCTGTAGGATCTTCCGCCACTTACCATTCACCAATCTCTCTGCCATTTCCAAATTCTTCTTGAAAAGGTTGTAGGCTTTCACTTTCACGCAGTTGTTGATGTGCCATGTGCACAATAAGTGGTTCGATTCGGGAAACAGCTCTGCTATGGGGGCAAAGAGACCTCCCTCACAGTCGCTGACGATGGCTGCTGGATGAACATTAGGCCCGATGTAGTTTCTCAGCTTCTCCAAAACCCAATAATAACTTGGAGCCGTCTCATCCCTGATGATTGCATGACCAATCAGAAAGTTCTGGTTCGTTGGAGCCATCCCAACCATCTCAACCAGAGGGAACTTGTACTTGTTTGTCTTGTACGTTGAGTCGATCAAAATCACAAATGGCCAAGACTTGATCATATCAGCACAATCAGGATGCACAAGGAAAAGATGAGTCACCTCCGCTGTATCTTCATCAGAATCAAACCAGAACAGGTAACCACGTGATTGTGCCTGGTGTAGCAGCTGCTGTATAGGGTTCCTTCCCTCTGACCGTTCAAACCTGAGTTGCTGTCTGACGTTGTAGATGTGTCTTCGGTTTGGATGGTCTTCTGGAAATTTCTCTAACACAGATGCTAATATTTTAGCAGGCTTCACTTGAGCATCACTCATTTCTTTCACAACTAGTTTCGCAGCAGGACTTAAGCCGCTTAGTTGTCGATGACCCTCTTCATATACTATCATCTCATGGTTGTGATACCCCCATTTAGAGTAACCTATCACTTCCCAACCGTCACGACTCCGTAGTTGTCGAACCTTTACTCTGAACTCACACCCACAACCTTTCCGCTTTGTGTCAAACCGAGTGGCTGTACGAAAATCTCTTTCTTCTCTTTTGCGATAACGGTCACATCTCAAAATGCGATCCATTCTACCATCCCGTTGAGATTTATGAGTTGCTACTACCAAGCAAAATCCAGCTGCAATTGCAACCTGTTTTGCCCAATCAATCGCATGTTGAGCTTCTTCGAATGGACCATCATGTCCAAATATCTCACTGTAATCATTTCCGTCTCCACCATATTCCTGCATCAATTATATATTACAATAAATACATTTAACGGATAATACATTTAATTTCTATATTTCCACATAATTAACACAAAAAAAACATAATTATATATAATCAAACTTAATTTTTATAAAAACCCAATTCGAATTTTCAAACTAAATTTAAAAATATACCATTTCGAATTTTCAAATTTAATTTTAAAAAAACCTATTTCGAATTTTCAAATTTAATTTACAAAAAACCCATTTCGAATTTTTTTAAAAAATCATTTTCGATTTTTTATTTTCACAAAAAAATTAAATAAAAAACAACAACAAAATCAAAAAGGAAAAAATAAAAATTAATTATTAAAGGTGGCGTCTGCCAGGGCTGCCACACCCACTGGACTGGCGCCTGGCAGGGCCGCCTCACCCAGTGGAGTGGCGTCTGCCCAGGACGCCAGTCTGGTGGTCTGGGCGTCTGGGCTGGACGCCACTCTGGTGGTCTGGGCGTCTAGCCTGGACGCCACTCTGGTGGTTCTGGCGTCCGGCTTGGACGTCCAGGCTACGGTTTGGGCGTCCACCCTAGGCGCCGTAGCCACTACGACGGTAAACCGTGAATTTTAGCGGTCACTTACCTCGTTTTCCGTCGACGACGACGTACCTCCGGCGTCCCCCGCATCTCCGGCCTGCCATCCGGTCTCCCCCGACGAGCCAGTACGGCTCCACATTTTTTACACCGAGATTATCTCAATTTTAGCAAAAGGGCATAATGGTCAAATCATAACATATTTGTGGGCTTTATATGGTAAATTGCGGGCGATGTTTAGCGTTTCACATACCGTCTCTAGATTAGAGACGGAATTGAAATCCGTCTCTTTTTGATGTTATTATAGGAACAAAAATTAAGAAGAGTATCTCCAATGGCAACAAATATAAAGGTGGCCTACATATAGATTGACAACGAACTGTAACACAACTTGTTTCCAATGACAATAAACTATAATTTGATTTCATTATAACAACAAATAATAAAAAGAGTATCTCCGATAACAACAAATAAAAATTTCAATTGGTAAATGGCAACATTTAAAAAGTATGTTGTCATCTAGCAACAATAGTTTAGACGACTTTGTTTCTAATGACAATAATTCATTGCCTTTGTTCGTTATAGGGGGTGTTTGGAAACCAGCTTTTCAGTTGGCCTTTGGCTTTTTCAAGTTGGTCAAACAGCCAAAAACATGTTTGGTTAGTGGCTTTTTTAACTGGCTGAAAAGCTGGCTTTTAAGCCAAAAGCCAAAAGCCAAAAGCTAGTTGGAGCAGCTTTTGGCTTATGGCTTATGGCTTTTGGCTTGTTGACATAAATAATTACTAATTAATAATTACTAATTAGTAATAATTAATTAGTAATTAATAATTAATATTTTTTTTGAAACATAAATTATTAGTACTTAATAATTAGTTTTAATAATAGTATTTAATATTTTATAATTAATAATTAATTATTATCATTCAATAATTAGTTTTTAATAATATGTATTAATATGGAGTAATATACAATTATTAGTAATTTATAACCAATAATTAATTAATTTAAATTATAACTAATTATTATTAAATTATTGTAAACTTATTGTAAATAATTAATAATTAATTTACAATTATAATTACCAATAATTTATTATTTTAATTAATATTAAAGTATTATATTAGTTCATTAGTGTTGATATAGTTTAACAACAGCTAGCACCCAACAGCCAATTTACCAAACACTACAACTCTAGTCAAACAGCCAACTCAAAAGCCAATCTAAACAACCAGTCAAACCAGCCAACTAAAACAGCCGACAGCCAACAACCAACAGCCAATTGCCAAGCAGGGCCATAAAATATTAGTTGCCATAGTTTGGTTCTATTTGGCAACATGACAAAAATATGATGCTATCTAGGAACAACTAGTAAGAAAATTTGTTTTAAAAAGCAACAAACAAAAAATCGTAGCCATTAATTACTAAAAAGTAAAGCATAAAATGTCGCTTTTAAGTAGACAATGAAAAAAAAATTATTTTTGTTCCTATTTTGCAACGTTTTGTAAAAATTTGTTGCCAAACTTAGTTGCTAAAAAACTCTTATTTTTTATAGTGGTATGCCTTTTAAAAGTAAATATGTAATAGTATTATGTTTTTTCATATAAAAAAGGTCAACTGTATGATGTACACAATCACCCAAAATTCCAAAAGATGTGACAACAAGCATTAGTTAGAACAAGTAAGTTGGGACACTTAGATTGTATAAGTCATTGCTTATGTTGTTATCATGTAAAAAAATTGATAATTTGATAACACTTTGAAGCACCATAGAGCAATTAGGCCTCATTCTTTTGTACTAAATTCACTTGCTAAACTGAAATAAAATGAAATTTGCATAATTGAATTGAAATTAACTTAACTAAAATTAAATACGACATATTAAATTTCATAATAGTAATGATGACATATTAAAATATTATGAAAGTCCAAGAAAGGACCGTAGTATGTGTATTTCATGGAACGAGTGTTTCTCACAAACGAGCAAGATATTACACACTTGCACCAATGAAAAAAAAAATTGATTAGCACGGAGTATTACACACTTGAACCAATTAAATAGCTGATCACACTCTATAACATAACAAATGGATATGAAAGTGTTACAATTAGTCCAAACGAGAGTTATATTCAATATTGGGCATTTCTATTTTTGTCCTTGCCTTAATTAAATAAATGTTTTGTTGAAAAAAAAAGAAAAAAAGAAAAAAACCGAAAGTGAGGGGAGCAACATTTGATCAGTTTGATCACTTGCATTCTTGTCAAACACTCGAAACATTCTTGATCAATTTCCAGTTTTTCCTTCACACTGATCACAGTTTACAGTGATCATCAATTTTCAAATCAACCCATCTTCAAGATCACCATTTTCATCTTCACCTTGAAGCTCCAACAATGGCGGAATTCCTAGACCTAGAATCCAAAGATGGAGTTCGAATGCCATGGAACGTAATCCCAGGCACAAAACAAGAATCAAGCAATTCTGTTATCCCTGTTTCTCTTCTCTATACTCCATTAAAACCCTTCCCTAATCTTCCAATTCTTCCTTACTCTCCTCTTCGATGTCGTTCTTGTCGATCAATTCTCAACCCTTTTGCTGTCATCGATTATGCTGCCAAAATCTGGATCTGCCCTTTTTGTTTCAATCGAAATCACTTCCCCCAACATTACGCTTCGATTTCTGATGCTAATCTTCCTGCTGAATTATACCCAGAATACACTACAATTGAATATGAACCACTCCCTGAATTGCACGCCCAAAATCATACCCCTTTAGTTTATTTATTTGTTGTTGATAATTGTTTGATTGAGGAAGAAATTGGGTATTTGAAATTGGCTTTGTCTCAGGCGTTGGATTTGATGCCGGATGATGCTCTAATTGGGTTTATTACATTTGGGAGTTTTGTTCAAGTTCATGAATTAGGGTTTTCTGGTGGGGGTAGTGGGATTCCTAAGTGTTATGTGTTTAAAGGGTCTAAGGAGGTTAGTAAAGATAAGGTGATGGAGCAGTTGAATTTTTTTGATCGGAAGCCGAAACCGGCTGCTGGGGTTGTTGCTGGTGTTAGAGATGGTTTGACTTCTGAAAGCATTGCGAGGTTCTTGTTGCCTGCTTCCGAGTGCGAGTTTACGTTGAATTCGGTATAGCTTTTGATCATGTTTGTTGATATCTTATGTTTGATTAATGTGTGTTTGGTTTGAATGAATGATTTGATGATGTTGATAAAACACTATTATTGATACAGAATTGAATGAATGATTATGAGTTTATTACTTTTGATTTATACAGTTTGGAGTGTACTTTTACTAATATAAGACGTACATTCATGCTTACATTTATAATTGTATGGTCCAATATGATACGGGGAGGCTTGTTTCTTGCTTCGTAGCTGTTGTGTTGTTTCTGCTGTTGCGGAATTGATTGGTATTGACTTCTTGCTGATGTATTTGTGATCGGGTGGGTGTAGCTGTTAGAAGAGCTTCAAAAGGATCCTTGGGGAGTGCCTTCAGATCAGAGGGCAAGTAGATGTACTGGCACAGCGCTCAGTATTGCTGCCCATGTGTTGGGTGCTTGCGTTCCTGGATCAGGAGCTAGGATTATGGCTTTTGTTGGTGGCCCATCAACAGAAGGGCCGGGCGCTGTAAGTTTTCTTCTTTGAAATGCTCTATTCCAACCTTAAATTTTTTAGTATTGATCTGTGAAGAAAACTTTACATAGTTACTCTAACTTTTGTAAGCAGTAGGTTATTTCTGGCTTGGGGTAATTATGTCACTTGTGTGCTCTCTGGTTTTTAAAATGTAAGGGGAAGTTCTTAATAAAAGAAAGATGCGAATAGACCCTATTGCTAGAGCCCCAGTTCTTTGGTGGAGGTTTCACCCATCTGCCTGAGACAATGTATTTGGAATAGTTGCCCAATTGTGTGTTGAAAAACCTGATATGCTACCTTCACACTTTTGTAGTCCTGAATAATTGAAGCCGAAGAAAACAGATATTGTCCAGAACATGTCTTTTGCATGTTTGAAGTAAGGTTGATGATTTTTTTTTATTTGATTCTATTCGGCCCCCGCCGTATTCACTTCACCTTATTTTCGATGAACTTAAATTGTTTTTACGGGATTGAAATTATTTTTGTCGAGCTGAAATTAATTTTTCAAACTGAAATTATTTTTACTGAACTAAAATTATTTTTACTAAACTGAAATTAATTTTGCTGAATTCAAATTATTTTTACTAATTCTTTATTTTATTTCTCTGTTAAGTTATTGATTTTTACTGAACTAAATTTTTAAGGAGGTATTTGTTTCATTAAATTGGAATGGGTTGGTTAGAATCTCATACTAGAGAGGTATAGATTGTAAAACCCATACTAGTCTAAAGTTGTTTGGTTTTATTGTTGGAATGGATTATATGCTTCATTAATAAAATGAATGTTTGAATCTTAGGGGAGATGTGGGTATGGGATTGCATACATATGAGGTAGAGTTAGAACCCCTTGGATATGAGATTTCATAGTTAAAAAGCTCAATCAAACAGAAAACCGATGGGATGGATTCCAACTTCATTCCAACCCATTTCAAACGATCCAACCAAATGACTCCTAAGTGGAATGAAATTATTTTTACATAATTGAATATTATTTTTGTAAGGTGAGGTGAATAGGACCTTACTTGAACTACCTCATATGAGTCATATGACGCATACCTTAATATTTTTCGAGACTTTATCCCGTCTACTTGATGTCATTTTCTGTTGTAGGTTTCCTGATTTCTTGTTGATAAGTCAAGGCCTTACATTTCTGAACTGTGGTTAATGGTTTTTTTTTTCCCTATTTGCAGATTGTTTCAAAGAACTTATCTGAGCCAATTCGTTCTCACAAGGATCTGGATAAGGATTCTGCTCCATATTATCATAAAGCTGTTAAATTCTATGAAGGACTTTCTAAGCAGCTTGTACACCAAGGGCACATTGTTGACCTTTTTGCGTGTGCTCTAGATCAGGTATCAATATGTGTTTTGGCTTTGTGAATAAGAATTTTCTTGGGGTTTTGAGTTGATTGCTTGCAAAATGCTATTGCCAGTATTACATCTCATCACTCTTGTCTTTATAATGTGCCCTTTAAGGAGTCAATATATTCAAAAAGTGAAATACAATTTCAGAAGTTACGTTGCTGTAGGATTGTACTTTTTATATAGGCCTATATCTTTTTGAAGGAATAATAGTATAATACACATACTTTTGTGTGGTGGTGAACTGGTGAGGTAGTAATTGACAAATCTGTTCCAATGTCTATATGCTTGTTCAGGTGAGCTGAAATGTCTGGATCTGTTCTTCTACTATGCTTTCTGTATTCCCAACAGCACTTTGTGGAAAGAATAGGGGAAATATGATTTCGTTACAGTTTATTAATAGTTATTGATATGAGTATACATCCAATTGGCACCCTCTGACTTTGAGGATTGTTGGTCTTAAGGCATAACTCCCAACTGAGAAAATACCTTTGGTGCAAGCCAACAAAGAGCTCTCGCCTTGTTTTATACTATTTCATATTAAATTGTATTGAAATTTAAAATCTTATTATATTGTTTCTACTTGCTGGCAGACATTCATTTTTGAGAGCAAGTATTATTACCTTGCCTCTTCTGCTGCCTTGTATATACATTTTCCTAGACATATTGGCCTGATGTCAGTAATCATCTTTCACACATCAGGTTGGGCTTGCTGAAATGAAAGTTGCTGTTGAAAGTACTGGCGGTCTTGTGGTCCTTGCTGAAAGTTTTGGCCATTCAGTTTTTAAGGACTCTCTGAAGCGTGTTTTCCAGGCTGGGGAACATGATCTTGGACCAGCGTCAAAGTAAGGCTCTGCTTAAATCATGCTTGACCTATCGTAACTTTTGGCAGTTGAAATTTTGTTGATCTATGTACACTTTTGAACTGTTATATTTCCAGAATTTGGCTGGAGTTATTTAGGGTGCTTCTTATTTTGATAATGTGTCACGTGTAATTTCCAGATTTGTCGATAGTAGTATTATTACATTCCAGTAGAAGTTAATTTCATGATGTCTTTAAGTATCAATCCATTGTGGTAGACTTTCCATTTCCTTTGGAGCAGGAAATATCATTGCTTTATATAGTCTTGGTTTTGATGTCAATTGAGGGTCGTATGGAGTGTGCTGGAATAGTTGGTGCTGATTCTCTTTTACTTATATGTTGGCTAGTACTTAAGCTTTGGCTTGAAATCAGCACATGAACATGATTTTCTTAAGCCAGATCTGGGTGGCATTGATTTGTAAGTGAAAGTTTTCCTTTTTTGTTTTCAAAGAGTAAGTGGTTTCATGTTTGGGTTAATTTAATTGACTTTCACTTTTGAAATTTTTAATTTATTAGAACCCTGTTTTGGCACTGATTTGTATTATGTTGAGACTTGAGAGCCTTGATCCAGGACATTTGTTACGCTTTAGAACCTTGTTTTGGAACACAGAGTTGTTTTGTGCTTTAGATTCTTTTTCGTTTCAGCCTAGCTAGTGGTTCGACTCTATGAAAACACTGCTCTCACCAATTTTCTAGTTGTATACTTTAAATTTTGATTTTATGGTAATTGTCCCTAATTTTTTTCCATCTATGCAATTTCTTCAAAGACTTTCTGTCTCCCCACCTCACCCCCCACCCCCCCCCCCAAAAAAAAAAAAAAAAAGAAAAAATCCTTTCATTTACACCATCTGATTCATCTATAAATGACAACATCAACATAAGCTCAATTTGTATATGGAGGGCCTTTGCTTATGGTGAATAAGGTTAGGGTTAAATACATGCTGCTTTAGTCCTGCTATAGGAAAAGAGCATTTCAACTAGGGATGGCAATCTAGTCTGAATCCGCCCCTAGTCCGATCCGATCCGAAGAAAAAAAATCCGAACCGAATTCGAGAAATAATTATCCGAATTCGACTCCGAGTCAAAGGAGGGTCGGAGTTGGAGTCTACTTAGAATCCGACTTATCCGATCCGACTCCGACTTTTTCATGTACTTATATATTTTTTATCATTCAATTTATGAATTTATTGGTCTTTAAAGTTGATTATATATTGGTTGCTATGGTCAAAATTACTTTTAAAGTCGGAGGATGAAAATATAAGTCGGATCGGAGTCGGAGGTGGAGGCAGATAAAAAATCCGACAGCTTGTAAGGTCGGAGTCGGATTTTGCATAATCCGATCCAAATCCGACCCATTGCCATCCCTAATTTCAACTGACCCCTCCAAATTCGAAGGACTGGGAATCTTTGGCTGAATGTAATATTTCTTGATTTTGCTTTAACTCTCAAGTTACGTATTTTCAATTGCTAATTTGTTTGTGTATTATTTAGGAGATCTGTGTTGGTCAGCTGGTTTGAGATGGCAATTGTGGTGACCATTTTCTTATTAAAAAAGAATAAATGGGGGCAGAATGAATAGCTAGTATCTTGAATTTTCGAAATCCGTATTAATATTGACTTTGGTACTCATTTGTACAAGATTATTCAAAATGGGATTGTATTTGCAAGTCAATTATGGACGCTCGAAATCGGAGTTGTATAATCTTTAATAAGAGAGAGTAGTCGAGACTAAGACGGAAGGCAGATAGTATTCTGGGAAGTAAAAGACTCATTGATTATTATTGTAATTCATTTTCAAAATATTTTACTGGAATGTGGCAGAATTTGGGTGGAGTTTCTGTGATTGGTGATTATATGGTTCATTATTGAAGATCAGTGATACTTTGTATTTCTCTTTCTTCTCTCTCCCCACCCACCCCCCAACAAATGCTAATTAGCTTAGAAGATTTATTATTTACAAGCTATAGAAGGCTGTTTGCCTGGTTTTAGAATTACTAGACCAGGCTGTGTAAAGTGCCCTCTTTGATCTTATCTGTGAAGTTTAGAAATCGAACTGTTTTATGCTGTATAGTTCTTGCTATTTTATACATGGCTTACAAGTAATTTGAATTCTCAACTCTGCTATTACAATGCATTGTTATTTTGCATTGATTCTTCTGCAACCATGTCGGTGGTTGGATTTTTTAACATTCAGACATTTGGTGCTGAACTTTCTTATTCAGACTTTTAGCATAGGTGATAATGGCAGTTGGCCTAATCAAATTTTTGTGTGCAGTGGTATATTTGAGGTTAGCTGCTCAAAAGATATGAAGATTCAGGGAATTCTTGGTCCCTGTGCATCACTTGAAAAGGTTAATTTGTGTTTTAAGTTTGTTTATTTTCATACTTGTGCTTGCGGATCTTTGATGTTCATGTCCAATGCTTTGGTGCAGAAAGGTCTACTTTGTTCGGAAACCGTTATTGGTCAGGGAAACACAAGTGCATGGAAGTTGTGTGGACTTGACAAAGCTACAACTTTATGCATCTATTTTGACATTGCAAAGAAGGAGAGCCCTGATGCTATTGGTGAAGCCACTAGCAACCTGTTTTACCTACAGTTTTTGACTTAGTATGAGCATAACCTTTCACTTTCTTGGTTGTTCCCTTTCTTATTGACATATTGTGCTTCAGTGCTTGCTAGATGGTGAACATATTCTTACTTATTACATAATTTTCTCAGTTATCAACATATTAGTGGTCGTATGAGACTTCGTATTTCTACTATTTCTAGGCGATGGGTTTCTGGTCCAGGAAGCACACAGGTATTCCTGCTATTTGTATTTTGTATTGCCTTTCTTTATTCTAGGATATTTGATCAAAAGTTAGTTGATTGTACATGTTACTACGCTTGGCATTTCTGCTGCATGGCATGACCTGCATATTCGTATCAGAAACGTTTCATAATGAAAGTTCATTGAAACACGTTTGGTAGTAATTTTAAAATTTTAGGTGCAATTTCAATGTTTTTTTTATTTCTTTTATTTTTTATATTCATGAATTTGGGTCTCGATTGACTTCCCCTCCTAATATCAATTTGTGCCCCCCTCCCCACTCCCCGCCCCTCCCACCACCACAAAAAGGAGCTTAGAAATTAAATGTAGAAGTCAGATACAGGAAAAAGAACTATTTGTGAACAAACTATGATTCAGATTCTTACTAGTCATCTCCCATTATTGCTTGTTGGAATATCTTGAACTTCTTCTCCCATGCTGGAGTTGCTTTATGGGTTATTTAGCCTCTTACTATAGTTGTTTTATGTTATTTACACGTTTTTCCATCTATATTGCTTAGGAGTTGATTGCGGGATTTGATCAAGAAGCGGCTGCTGTTACTCTGGCACGCTTAGTTTCATTCAAGATGGAGAATGAGGTAACTTTTAATGGGGAATACTGATTTAGGTTTTGTTTTAAACAATTTTTTACATTTTCTTGTTTCATCCTTTAACCAAAAAAATATTTCCACATGCAGGCAGAGTTTGACCCAATACGATGGCTTGATAGATCACTGATACGTCTATGCTCAAAATATGGAGATTACCAAAAGGAAAATCCCAACTCTTTTAGCCTATCACCACGGTTTTCAATATTTCCTCAATTTATTTTTCATCTAAGGAGATCTCAGTTTGTTCAGGTATACAATTTTCTATTGTGGGATCTTAGATGATTGTAAAATCATGAAAGCAGCTTACTATATTATTGTTTATTAGGTGTTCAACAACAGCCCTGATGAGACTGCATACTTCAGAATGATTTTAAATCGGGAAAATGTAGCCAACTCGGTAGTGATGATTCAGCCTTCACTGATTTCCTATTCCTTACAATCACCTCCTGAACCTGCTCTTCTCGACGTCGCTTCTGTAGCTCCAGATAGGATATTGCTACTAGACTCATATTTCACTATTGTCATATTTCATGGTCAAACGATTGCTCAGTGGCGTAAGGCTGGATACCAAGATCAGCCTGATTACAAGGTCAATGTTTTCCTTGTTGGGTTACTTTAGTCTGTGATTGTGGTATATGAAATAACTAGGTTTCACAATGAGTTTGTGTTATCTACTATTTGCCAGCTGTTTGATTGTTCTTTCTTTGACTCGGGTTCTTCCTTTCTTTTTTCTCAGGAATTTGCCCACTTGTTGCAAGTTCCTAAAGACGATGCCAATGCTTTGATCAAAGAGAGGTTTCCAGTTCCACGCTTAGTTATCTGTGATCAGTATGGCTCTCAGGTATTTCTCATACTGAAAACTCTTAGAATAAATAGGATGAACTGTAATACTGTTAGGTTTGCATTTGTAAGATTATTTGCTTTATATAGGATATCTATGTTAATTGTGGTCATAATGTGTGCTGAAGAGCAGTTCCTTATATTTCTAGTCTCCCTCTATGAATGATAAATATGCCTTTTAAGTCAGCAGTGCATTGATCTCTAACTTCTAAACTTCTGTACATTACTCCTTTATTTTTTTTTGTCCCTCTTTCTGTTTTCGAAGGTCTACAAATTTTCTGTATGAATAAAGGCCAACTATTTTTTTAATTACCTGAGTATCTTATCTGTGAAGCAAACACAAAACAAAGGTCTTCCTCTGAACTACAGCAACTACCAGTACTTTGTTGGGCTGATAATCAATTTATGCTTTTGTGCTCGTTATCTTGGAGTGCTCATTTTGCACCTTGTCCAAGTAAAATTGACTTTTCTTTCTTAATGCTTGTCTAGGCCCGCTTTCTTCTGGCAAAGTTAAATCCTTCAGCTACATACAACTCTGGTGCCTCTATGGCTCCTGGTGGAGATCTCATTTTCACGGACGACGTCAGTTTTGAGGTGTTCTTGGATCATCTCCAAAGGCTAGCAGTTCAATAGAATAGAATAGGTCCCACAATTTTGTAAAATTTTATTTGAGCTTGCTGTACAGTAATGTCTACTTTGATGTTTTGGCAGTGCGAGTCTATTATCATTTTATGCTCTGCATATTTTTTATTGGTATTAATAATGTTCCACTTTAAGCTGATCGGATAATACCATTATAAGCAACTTCTCAGTGAAATCTTCTAATGAAAGCCAATTGAGAATTTGCTGCTGCAGTATTTCTATTCCATGGTTAGCTTTGCAATGTTGTCAGTGGAATTTTTATTGAATGCCTTAATCAAAACCATTGATCAGTGATTAGTGATTAGTGATCAGTGTCGGTTTTGTTTCGATGTTTCCAAACTTAACCTTTGTATCCTGTTGGGCGACGGTATGCATTGATTTAAGGTGTATTATAAGTGGCTATTCAGTTTATGGTTGAAAATGCACGTTAAAATTGTCCTTAACTGACCCAGTGGCTACTTATAACTGAAAGACTGAATGAATTCTAAGTCACATAAGGGCCGAAGATGGATTTCCCAGTATAGCTTGTGAAGTGAGGAGTCTGAGGACTTTGAAGAGAGTAAAGTATGACCTTCATGGGGATACATGGTATGTTTAGTTTAGAGGATCAGTTCCATACCATGTATTCAATATCTATTATGGATTCCCTGAATCCCTGCCCTAAAAAAAAAAAATTAATGTGGTCTTTGCTTTGAGAATTAGGCTCTGTTAGGCTCATTTAATTTTGTTTGAAATTATTTTATGAGAACTCATTTTATTTATACCGGAGTTTAAACTTATTTTTTCTGAAATAAGATAAACCGACCATTATTTGTTATGTTGCCAAAAAAGATTAGTATATATCTTAATTAAGTCATAACTCAAAATTTGATGGAGTTTGGACTAAAGAACATGATGTATACAATATTTGTATTTGTGTGAACACTTAATAAATTAAATGTTGGCAACTTGGCAAGGGTGCAAGGGTGATGTTCTTTTCAAATGAAGTGAACTTTTGATGTCCACTTACCAAGTAGAGATCGGTTGGCTTGGCTCGCATAAATTCATAATAGGATCAGTTGGAGCCTTGGAGGAAGTTTTTACAGGCCTACTATTTAGTGGCTCAGACTTCTACTAAGCTGATGATGTCCTGAAGTATGGCATAGGTTAGATGACATACTTTTCAGCAAACCCATACAGCTATATACGGCTAAAAGCCGGGTTCATAAATGAGAAGCAGCTCAGCACAAATGCCGCGTAAACAAAAGGTTTAGATGGAAATTTGAAAATTGGTAAAGAATGATATCATTAGTAGCATTTAGCTTGAAATGAAGTCACCGCAAGCATTTGTTAATTAGATCCTTGTAGAGAAACTATATTCCCAATCGTCGATGTACATATCTCATAATCACTTAGGGATCTAACTTCACTATTCAACAAAAAACAAAATTCATATGCGTGCAGGAGACGTTCTAAATATCAAGACCTGCCAGGAATTCTTTGGTCATGAAGGAAGAAAAAAGAGGGAATATCCACCCTTCACATCATCTGCAGATGAAGATCTGCAGCCTGTTGGGCCAGCTCCACAACCATAGCGTCATCAAAGAACTTCTTGATGCTAACATCCTCACTCATACCCTGCAGGAATAATCATCAATAAGCACAACAGAACAGGTTTGTCTAGTTTCCTTAAAATTAATGTCATAATGTTAAGATCACTTGTTAAGTATCTCACCACAGATAAAAGAAAAGAATCGTACCTTTCTACGCCTTGTTTTCACCATGAACTCTCTTGCAAGGTGCTGTATTGGAGCAGGTTCAAGAGGCCGTAGGACAATGCTCTTGTCTAGGGGATCTCCAGGGACAATAGCCCAATGATCAAACACAGAAGAGCAGAAGGCCTGACCTTGGGTATGATACCTTAAATCTGTCTCAAATCCAAATGACTCTATAACAGGCAAAAATGCCTATAAAGAAAAAGATGACCACAGCGTCAAAACTCAACAATACTAGGCGAATCAACATGCGTGTACAAAAAAGCAAGAAGGTACTTTTTGTGATGTATCAGTTGCTGAATCAAACACCAAAATGAACAATATACAATGGAAAGCATATGCTTATGAGCTTATCACATTTAGCAAGATAAGTTAAATTGCATCAAGAAAAAAAATAAAAATAAAAAATAAAAAAAGACAAACCTTAACAATATACGCTGGGGTTCCTGGTTGTGGAACATCAGCCGTCACATGGCCACGCCTACGAGATAAAACCGTGTAGATCGCAGAAACACAATCTATTGGTGTTTGTATCTGAAAGAGGCACATAAATAAGATCATGGGGGGAAATCAGTCAACTTTATAGTACTAAACAGAAAAATGTAGTCACCTCCACATAATACACTGGCTCCATAAGACGAGGGGTTGCCATAAGGAAAGCTGAATAAGCCACACGACGGGCTGTGGGGATTAATTGTCCAGTACCCCGATGTAGTGGCTCAGGAGCAATCCTAGCATCAACTATCTTGAATTTCACGTTTCTGATTGGTTCATCGCAGAGGGGACCTTCTCGAGCACCCCACTGAAAGCTATATACAAAAGAATGCAAAACTTCAAAAGGAAAGTAGAAGATAGAAAACTGGGGAGGGAGTAGGGGAGGAGGAGAGAATGTAAGAAAAATTGCTTACCCTTGAACAATAGAATCCTTCACAGCACTCAGCAAGTTCTTGTCAACTTCACTAGGAAGTGTGTCATCTAATAATATGTTAGGCCCCTACAGGTAAGATGGCTTTTAGACTAATCACAAAATAACAAAATAAAGCAAAGAATTCTGACATTAAGTATAATTGAGAATGAGCTTACCTGCTTATCTGGACCAAAAGCCCATATAGAACGGGCAGCCAGCAAATCCCATTCATATTTAGTTTGGAAAAAGTCACCTAGCTTCTTTCGAGGCCAATCAATGCTTACGATACCATTCTCGATATCCTCAGCAAGACCCCTCTCTAGTGGCTCTGCAATCTGAAGAGGCCCGGCACAGCAGTAAGCCAGAGTTGTGCACAAAAAGGACCAAATCTTTCAACAACAAAACAAGAATGCAAATCTTACCATAGTGATTTTGTTCTTCTTATTGGGTGTTTCAGCGAAACACTTCATTGATGAAGACTCTACCACTGTTTCACAGAATGAGACAACTGGATCCGCTACCTAACACCAATTGAAAATAGATCAGTTCAGTTGTCAAAAGCAAGATATTGATCAGTCAACACTGTACACAAGAAATTGATTTGGATTCTCCAAAAGCTCAAACGAAATATAAAACACTATCATCAGGAAACCAACCACCCCCCCCCCCCCCCAACACACACAAAAAAAAAAAAAAGAAAAAAAAAAAAAAAAAGAGCAACAAGATTAATTGACATTATAAAAAACAAAAAGGCAGCTGAACAACAGACCTTGACTTCTACTTCAGAATAAAGCTCTCTCAGGTCCTTCATGATAGAATCAAGGTATAACTCCCCAGTGCCCAAAATTGTATGCTCCCCCGATTCCTCAACTTTAGTAATGGCTAGAGGGTAGCTCTTGCTGATTTTTCTAAGACCCTCAACCATTTTTGGTAGTTCACTAGGATTAAGAGGCTCTGTAGCAGTTTTCACCACCGAAAGTGTATTGAACTGTAGAGGGCGGAATATGTATACATCTTCATCATAATCAACATTACAAAGTGTTGCAGTCTTCATGATAGAGGCATCTACACCTTCAATGAGAACCCATGAACCTGGTGGAGCCTTGCTTACAGGGATCCTATAACGAGCCTGGTAAACCCACAACTTTGTTACTTCTTTCACTGTCATATCTTCCTCATCCTCAGGTGAGTACCCTTCTCCTAGTACACGAACAGTCTGGCCTGTTTGGATCGTGCCACTGTACACTCTACCAAAGGCATCAAAAACACTGCAATCTGGTTTAGGATAGAGTTTGGTAATATTAACCATAAGTGGCCCAGATGGATCACAATTTTCCATGGACTTGTAAACCATAGAGTCTTTTGGACCAGTATATATGTGATCGACCTTTCCAGAAGAAGCTTCTTTTCCACAAGGAACGTGCTGAACTAGCATATCAGTGAAGCCTGTTGCTGTACCAAAAACTGAGCTACAGGCAAGTCTTAACAATGGTCGAACATTCAACTTGTAGGCTGCATTCGGAAGTGTAACCCCAAGTTCTGCTAAAGTTGCCTCTACACTCTTTCTATGCTCCCCGATGACTTGACTATATATTTTATACAGTGGCTCTAAGATAAACTGAACAAAAGATCTTTCCCCTCCAGTTGCAGGAGGTTTTCTCTTAAAACTTCTGCTGTCTGGATGGTAGTACATGTCTCCCCACAGACGAGCAGCAAACTTACTTGCATCAAATGGTACCCCATGTAGTTTCACATATAGCTTTGCAAATGATTGCAGAGTGAATGACCATCCAGCTGTTGCACTGGCAAAACAAATGTTCCCTGCTGCTGGATCTATAAGCTGGACATCTCCAGCAGTGGAAGAGGCTGCCGTGATGTGGTTGTTGATGATTTCTAAAGTATGCCTTAGTTTATGATAGGCATCTTTAGGAGGCAATTTAAGCTCTGTTATCAATCTGTCAACCTTCAAGAAAACAAATACAATATAATGTAAAAGTTTATAGCTACGAACATGCTAAAGTAAACTGGGCAGAGAAATGAATACATACCTTATTAATAACAACTACTATCGGAATACGCTCCTGAGTTGCATGCCGAATAGCCCTCTCGGTATTGACCTTAGAAAATATCAAAGAATGAATAATCATAATAATATCACTTAGTACAGGGAACACAAGCAAGAATATAGAATAGAGTCAAGCCCTTATATAACATGATATACTCCACATTAGAAACCAAAAGGCTAAATGCATATAAAGGGAGCTGTAAGGTTGCAACTAATAGCCAGCTACTGTAAGAAAGTACATAATAATAACTCAAACAATTACTTGGTTAACTAACAACAGTTTAGAATTCAAAGTTGTGCCTGACACAATATGACATTTGCCCAAAATCAGCCAAGGTATTATTAAATGTGGAAGTCTAACATTCAAGAGCCCGTTGTTTAAGATGGAATGTCATACCAATGCCCATAAAAATTTCCATAAGATACAGCCCACATCTATCTAAAATGAAATCAATTACATACATTGCAATGAAAAAAAAAAAAAAAAGTTGGCAAGAGAGGGCACTCACCATGACACCTTCAGCTGCATCAACAACCAGAACAGCGCCATCAGCAAGCCTTAGAGCAGCACTCATCTCATCTGAGAAATTCACATGACCCGGGGCATCCATAATATTAATCAAGAATGATTTCGAGTTACTATCCTCAAGAACAAGCGACATTGGCACAGACTTGATTGAAATTCTCCTCTCTTGCTCATCAACCCTCGTATCGGTATACCTACAGAATTCATAAGTATCAACATATGGCCAAAATTGGCTTACATAGAGTAAACTAACAGCTTTCCATATCATAAACTACCTAGCAAGACATTTCTGTTAAGATCAGCACTATCTTTAACCTAAATCAATCTAACTTTACCCTCAATCAACAACCAAACCATCCACATAGAGTACTAGAGTAGTAACTAATATTGTAATCATCATCATTTCATCCTTATTCGAAAACTAATCTAAAATTGAAGATCAAGTCTCTTAGTCTCTATCAGCATAAATGTAGTGTACTAGTATTACAACAAACGAGTCATTGTTTTCGGAAATTCGTGCATATTTTAGCCTATTAGCTACTTTGACACCATTCTTCCTAAGTTTCCATCTTTCCATACCTAAAAATTGCCCAATCAAACAATTAACAATCACCAGTAGCAATTTTCCAATTTCAATCAACCCTAGACCAAACCAATCGTCCGAATAACTCATCAAAAACCCAGAAATCACACAATACAACAAAAATCATGAAATGCAATCAACAAAATAATCAGTAAAATTCAAGAAACTACCTCATATGCCTCTCATTCTTAGTATCAAAAGTAGAAATATGATGAGTCTGCTCAACAAGCATATCCATAAACAGCGTCTTCCCATGATGTAAATGCCCAACAAGCGCAACATTCCTCACCAAATTAGGGTTCGACATAAGACCAAGCATAAACTGAGTCGAAACATAAGTAGACGAATCCTTAACACCAAGCTCAAACTTGAGCGCTTTAACCGGCCTAATAATCGGCTGTTCAAGAGGAAGTTCATCTTCATCTTCAACTAGGGTTTCAACGTCTTCGCCATAAACTTCCTCAGCAGTAGGGTAGTATTTCTTGTCTTCGGCAAGAACAACCTGATTATCGGCCATTTCAGTGTCTTCGACGCCGTGTGAAGCTGTCATCCAGCCGTTGGTGGGTCCGGCGGCGGAGGAAGGAGCTTCGTCGTCGGAAGGGCGTTTGTCGACGTCATCGTCGGAGGGAATGTCGGCGTCGGAATCGTTGTCTTGGTCGGAGTCGATTTCCGGGCCGATGTAGTTGCCGAACTCGTCGTATAAGCTGTCATCCATGGCGGAAGAAGGAGGAGAGAGAAAGTGATGGAGTTTTTTGTCGGGGTGGTGAAATTGTGAGAGAAGTGGAGTGAGGAGGGGGGTATTTGGGGTTTTAGATGAAGGCGGTGCAAATGTTTGTTTTGGGTTGTTTTGGGCGGAGTTGAGATATTTCTATTCTCGTAAATTCTTGTATTAGACTGTCTTTTAACCACGTCTTATGAAATAATCTCGATTTATTTTTATTCTTTAATACATAGTACTCCGTATATTGATAAATTTTTCTCGCATATTAGAGGTATTATTGTCATTTCACCTATTTATTTGTGGGCGTCGTTGTAATTTCAATGCTTCTAGCTAGAAATATGGGGTTGTCTCTTCTCTACTCTCCCATTGTTCAATTGTTGAAGTTGTTTCGGTGATAGAAGCTTTCTAAAGCTTAATCTACCGATTTAGACCGAAACAAATAAAAAGGTAGTTGACTTGCTTACTTATTCAAGTTTTAAAGTCAACTACCTTTCTCTACGCAACCCTGACTCTTTCCCATGTGATTGGGTCTGCAATGGTATTCAAAAGACCGTAGTCGTTTTGAACTTTTCGGGATAACAACGTTGTTAAAAGATTAAAACAAAGACCCAAGACTAAGGTTTTACGTCGTGAAGAACTCTACTTTTTTGTTCGTAACGAGGAAGAGATAGAATGGAGTTCTTCACGAAGTTTAAGACAAAGGAAAAAAGAAGACTTTCTCTACGGCCTCCTCGTTTTGAGTTTGAGTTTGATTCTGCCTCTGCTTCCTTACTCACAGAATCCCAACCGAACAATTCTCATTGCCTTGCTTCCCGCTACGACACCGGTTCTATTCAAACTGCTAACTACTAAATGCATCGAAGGAAAATAGCCTGCAATCTAGTACCTCCTATCCATGATAGTGAGCGATCAATTCGTTATGGTCTGGGCGTGAATTTACTATAGTACAGCAGCGTCACTCGACGCGTTGAAAGAACAGAGCGACCTAAAGCTTAATCTACCTCCATTCTCTCACGACAAACACTATCTTATTGGGATTAATCATTTCCTCTATTTCCATAATTCCATTTCCCTTTTTTTTTAAATATTTTTTGGGGTTTTCTTTGAATTCTGTGGCGGAAGCCACTAGAATACTTAATGTCGGTGGTGAAAATTGTGGTGTTGGGGTCGTTCTTCCTCCCTCCCAATACTTGTATACACTTATGAGGTTTTCATGGCGACTTATAGGGGTGTTTGGCAATTGATTTTTTGTTTAGCTTTTGGCTTTTTAGTTTGGTCAAACAACCAAAAAATATGTTTGGTAGTTGGCTTTTTTGTTGGCTTTTAAGGTGATCTTTTTCGCCAAAAGTTAATAGGAGTAGCTTTTTTCTATTGGTTTTTGGCTTGTTGGTCCATTTTATCACTAATAAGCAGCTAACAACCATAAATAATTTTACCAAACACTTTTGTAAACAGCTGCCTTAAACAACTAACTTTTAAATGTCAATCCATACAACTAATAGTTTTAAGCTAGTAAAATAAGTCAAGCAAACAAGGCAATAGCCATCAGCCATCCGTCGATTGTCAAACAACCCCTATTTGAGAGGCCTTCATGGTTAGTCGCGTGAGAAGATGGAGAGATGAGGGTGGTGACAATGACTGGTTTTGGAGAGAAAAGGGGAAGTAATTAGGGGTGAGCATGGGACGGGTACTCGTACCATTAGTACTAACGGTTCGGGTACGGAACAATCCGGTCGGTCATGGACGGTGAACAGCCCTATACGGAACACGTTATTTTTTCCTCATTTGGCAAAAAAAAATAAAAATAAAAAACAGAGAATTCCAGAAAAAAAAACTGGGAACTCGTTGTTGCCTATGAGCTTAATAATTGAATTGTTGAGCACTTCTTGCAACCTTGATTGAGGTGATTCAGTTCGATTTACGTAACCCTAATCCCTGACATTGCATCTTCTAATCCTCAAGATACCTTATTAAGCGATTGAGGTTGGTACATTCAAATCCAGATCAGTTTGTTGCATTATTCTTGCAATTTGTTTCAATTGTGTTACAAATTCAATGAATAGTTATTTCCCATTTATATTATGATGTAGTTTGCATATTTGGATTTTATGATTGGGTTTTGATTTGATTTATTTCATTTATCTGCAATTACTCTGTTCAATTGATGCTCGTCCAGTTCAGTGGAAATCTTGCTGGGTTGTTTTGCTGCTTTGTGAGTTGTAATTAGTTTTATTGATTTTTTTTGCCATAATTAGCCATTTTGCGGTGAGATCTTTATTGGGTTCCCTTGTTAGATGTCTTAGCAATTGAGGGAATTATTCTGTTTCGTTTTTCTTGGTAATTTGTCATTGGGGTATTTTTGTTGACACGAGTATGTGTCCAAGTATCCGACTTGGCTATGATATGAAGCTACCCATGCCGAGTGTGGAGAATTCGGCATGGGTACTTGAGGTGAATTGAAGAGTCCGAGCAACATTGTAGGCTTGTAGCTGCTGTACTATGTCCCCTTTGATTCATGTAGAAAGACCATTTTGAGTGTATTTTGTCTTCATTTGTTGATATACAAAAAGAAAGGATTCGTAACTGATAACTTACTGCAAATTTGTATGCAAAGTAAGCAGGAAATTGGGAAAGAGCTGCTGTAAGATTGATAGCACTAAAAGGAAATGGCTTGTAATCCTCGAGGCTGTGCTTCCTTGTTCTTGTGGCTTGTTCTTTCTTTGCACATCTTGTATTTTACAACAGCTGTTGATGCCAAATCTGGTCATCGTATTACCGTAAGGCACTTCACATTTCTCGTTCAATTTAAATAGATTATGCCTCTTTAAATGACGTCCGTTGATTGCTGTTTTCTGTATTTTGAAGCAATAAGAGTGAGTGAGTGAGTGACTTTTAATTTGGCAGTTGGAACTCTTGTTTGCATCGCTTGTTTCTCATTCACCTTTTGTAAACAACAGGATGCTGAAATAAGAATGAAGAAAGATGAGTGTTATGCTGACATTGAAAGGTATTCTTGCTTGTATACGTCTTCTTTAGGATTACCTATCCTAACCCATTAAGTACTTTGGATTGGCATCAATTTGCCACTTTTTTGGGGTTACATACTTTATCGGTTTTGATTTACTTATTGATGGAAAATGACTTCTTTCATGAAACTGTTTATAGTGGTCTGTGGGGCTTGGATTGCAAAACTTCGATCATTGCTAAGGAGAACTGTGCTTTGCGATGTCTTTCACCACGGTGTTATGAGCTTGTTTATGAGAGTGATCCGGTAAGGATATTTCCATTCACTTCTGGTCCAATTACTCATTGGTCTGGACTTTCAAAGTTCAAGTGGTTATGGGTTATATTTATTTGCAGCTGGAAGAAGGAGAGAAGGACCTTATCAGGAGTCAAGAGTACAAGTACTGTATGTACAGGTAATTGACCTCACAACAATTGCTTGTACTCTTCTGATACTCAGCATTGCCTGTTCTGAAAACTATTATTGGTATAAGTTTCCTTTGCCTCTTCTGATTTTTTGATGATTGCCTGTCTGAGTTATGTATGATTATGAAGGGCTTTGCATATCTATTTATTTTTCAGACTCCTAACAAGTACAAAGTTGTTAAACCAAATACGGGGTATATATGCTTCCTGAATCCTACTGATCATGAGGCTCTGCTTGCGAACCCCTGTTGCATCTACTTCATTGATTGCACTTCTAATTTCTTCTTTAGCTATTCTACTCTTCATATATGATATAAACTGCATAGCACCTAGACTGTAAGTATATGGTAGAATTTTACTGTAGTCCCCTTGAGTTTGAATTTCTAAGTTTGATGATTTTAGTGGAACACTTCCATGCTAATGGTATGGATTATACCTTGTGCTGGTTATAATTTGAATCAAATACTTTTACTATAGTCCTCTTGAGCTTGAAAATTGTAGTCTAATGCTTCTATTTGACGAGGCCCACTTGCTCAGCTGATATTTTGAAGTTTTATAATTTTCTTTACACACATTTTATTGTAAAATGTACCTTTAGCTAAAAGTAAAATTCTATCCAAAGTTGAAATTTGAATGCAACAATTTTTGGTGTTGATTAATGCAGAGTTGGAAATTCATTCAGAAAGTAGCCAAAGAACTATCTTCATTCTTACTTCAGAGTTTAGAGTACAAATTGCACTATTCAAGTGTCTATTTTAAGTTACATTTTCAAGAGAAAATTGAAAAAGAAAATAAAAATTGACATGACAAATAGTGATAATTTGCATTTTTTTAAAGCACAACGCCACAACAGTGATGTTCAGTTGGTCCAGCCCATGATATAGGAGTCTTCTAGGAATCTAAACTTTGGCTAGTCCTTCTGTATGTACCTCAATGTCAAAAAATAGACAAATATATTGAGACTTATACTTGTTCTAAGGGTACTAATATGCATGTATAGAGACGTGTAGCCTAGCATAGTCTATTGACCATTCACATTGGCACACAAACAGGTGTGTGTTTGTAATTTCTACCATCATGCAGGAAGTAGTTATAATAAGATGATTATAGGCTTATAGTGCACTTGCAGAAATCTGAGCTGGTTCATGGTATCAAAGGCTTCTGCCTTGCTGGATTTTCTTTGATATGTCTTATTAATTGTGTGTAGAATAAGTTCTGTCATCTGATATATTGGTGGCATAGCCGGCATTATCATAGCTACTTATAGCAAGCTGGAAATGAAGTTCTATTCATCAATGACTCAAACTGCACATGATTGCTAACGAAATGCTGAATTAATGTAGTTGTTGTGATACATTCACTAACCTAGTGTTTACTCATTCTAGGTCATAAGGTATAATTTTTATCTGTTAGTGTTAGTGGGTCAATGAAGTGTGTAAATGGCAATTCTGTTGTAAGAAAAGCAATCAATTCAACCACTACACGCATCACCATATCGTATATTTGGGTGGATAAGTGTTGCTTAGGTATTACAAGACTAGGGCAGATAATTCAAGCAGTCGTATGTATAACTGTACTGTTTAATTGAATTCGCCTTTTTGCATCACATGTCATGGGTTCTTTGGTCATGGTTCGCATTAGGGCTCTTATATTACCTCCTTTTTGCATGCTTCCTTTTTTGGGTTATACTACACTGAGCATATCCTTGTATGATTTTTTCTTACACACAGGATATCAACTGGAGAAAGCATTGATGGCATCAAGGGTTCTTTGGGCTAGTCTTCCTACAACTGTAAACTTGTATGCCATGTCAATGTTCTTGGACACAAGTATAACCCGGGAAAAGGAATTCTGCTTGTTCTTCTATTGCCTTTGCTAAAGCAGTTTCATATCAGCTGATGTAGATGTGATGTGACTCTAATTCTTTATCAATTATCGATCTGAGCTGTATTTTTTCTGGTGACTTGTGCATTTTCAACTCTCATGCATAACCTTGGGAGAGTCAGAAATGTAAATGGGATCTTATTCGATCAAATCTCTGTAAACACTTGAACATACCCCATGAACAAATACTGTGATTTGATCTTGAATTGCTGTAACCAGCTTCTTTCAATTAAGCTCGTCATCTATTTATTTTTTCGCTTTTGAATTTTTGTGAAAAGTCATTTCAACAAGATGTTAGATACCAAAATTTCCCGGGAATAGCAAGGGTTAAGACCAAGCAGAAGAACAGAATAATAGAGCAACTACAGGATGGTTAGCTCACGGCAGCCGCATATGTTATCAACTGAGTAGCATCTGGGAGTTTGAGAGTATTGGTACCTTATAATTAAGCTTTTTCTGAAAGGCATGAGCTCAAATTTGTATGAGCTCACTTGCAACTACTCTTGGCACATGAAATGAAACTGATTCAACTTCTTATCTGCCTCTTTTTTTTTTTTTTTTTTTTTTTTTTTACAAATTCAACTTTTAATTTCTACTCTATTCCCGAAAGTGATAATCTCAATCTTTTCGAAAATTAATGCAAACATTTCCCTTGCTTGCAGCTGCCATAGTTTGCTTTGGCTAAGCTTGGACAATTATTGGACATTGTCAAAATTTGGAACTATTTTGATAAATCAAATTATTTTTTAAGCTAGAATCCTTAGGGAATTGATTTTCGCACTCTAAAAATTGATTTCTATTCTCTCTCAATAATTTTGTACTATGCTTAATGTTCTCAAAACTATGAGGAGGTGTGCTAAAATCAACTTTGGAGTGATAACTTCAAAATTATTTTTCAGTGAGCAGTTAAGCACTGAATCTAAACATCTCCCACACATTTTATTTTCATCACCCAAAACTTACATATCATAATTAGCGTTTAGCATTAAAAGTGATGGTAATTTAATCCAAATTCTCAACATAATCTACGCTTAATAGTTTATGAACATATCATAAGTTCATAACCCTATCATTTCCTGATAAGACTAGGCCATTAGCAGGCAACATTAACTATTTACATAATCATTTTCCTGTAAAGATACAAACTATATTATCGTCTTTACTAATTTCTGATAGTAATTTTACATCATCGGATTCAGACTGCATGCAATGCAGCTTAATTTTCCCTTACATGTGCATGAATGTGATCATCATTCATAGTCATACACACATATCAGATATCACAAAGGAGATTAAGAGAGAGATATCGTTAGCGCAATTATGCTAAGAAACTGTTAACTGGACCTTGTGTATATATAATCCATTAATTAAGCCAAGTAGTACCTAATCAACACGATTACTAAATACTACAGTAATTACTTGATCATGTTAACAAAGCAGCAACTATTAAATTGGTTAGATATGAGTAAACTACAGTTAAACTGTTGTTCTTAATCACTAATTAATAAGCTAAAAACTAGTAGTGGGTGCAACAGCAACAGAAGCAGCAGCATACTGTCTTTCCACAACTTCTATCAGCTTGTTTGCTATTGCACTTGCATACACTGATGACCCTTCACATATCTGCCATCAAATCAACCAACAAACGATTTAATCAATAATAAATCACATTAATCAACAAAACTAAACCGATAATTAAATCAAACTTGTTCCTTGGTACGTGTAATTTGATATTGAATACGGAGCATATGTAACTCCGTATATATATTATGTAAAGATATATTTTGTGTAATTAAGTTACGTGTAAACGTATATTCTATGATAATTAATGATCACCTTGGAGTTGAAAAGATAACTGTAATAGTCCCCAACATGGCCTCCAGCAACATGGCGTAAATCCAACTGAAGCTCATCAAGTGTCCTAGACACAAACAACAAGCAATTGATCTTCTTACGCTGCACAAGCTTAATGGTAACATCATCATCCACGATTCGAACATCGACTTCCGTGTCCTTACACTTCCTCTGGATCCACGAGCTTCGGAGCTGGATGGCGGCCGATCCATTAAACTCCTCGTCCGGATCGGGTTTCACCGCGGCCGGTCCATCGACACCGTTACTGTTGTGGTCCCCACCACCAGTACTAGTAGTACCACCAGCTGGGGTGTCCTGATGCTCAGTTTTATGCCTCTTCAACCTCTCCTTTGACATCCTTTTTTTCTCAACCAAGAGTTTTAGCTCTCCCACTGTTCTTCTCAGCTCATTTATGTGGTTTATTGCATCCCAAACTATTGATGCTCTGTCCCCCTTCATGCATATCAACAAATTAAACAATTTAAAATAAATCGGGCCGGAATAAATATTATTGCAAATCAAGTTCCGCTAATACTTTTGGGAAAAGAGTTCAAAGAAACATATTCAGAATTACCCAACTCAAACACATTAAATCATAACTACTCAAAAATTGCACTAGAAAGTTCATTATAAAAAGCATATATTATAATTATGATGATAATTATATCATTCCCAACTCCAAACTCATAAACACATAAGAACTTAAAATTGCACTACAAAGTTCATAATAAAAAAGCATATATTATAATTATAAAAAGCATATATTATAATTAAATCATACCTTGGTTTGATTAGGAACAAGGCTCCTAAGATGCTGATACTTGTCATTAAAGTTTTGCCTTCTTTGTCTTTCAGTAACAAAATTCTTAGGGCATTTACCCCCATTAACATCACCTTTACTAAACTCAAAAACACCATTTCCATGAATATGATGATCTCCATCTTGGTAAATCCCATTAATAGTATTCCCTTCACCATCATCCAACCCACCAAACAAACTAGATGAACTTCCATTTCCAATAATCCCATAAGTCCCTCTTCCGGTATTATACCCGCCGCCGTGTGGCAGCGTCTGATGAAACATCAAATCCCTCAAAAGAGGGGAAGGTTGAGGGGGCAAGTTAAGGTGAAATAAAGGGTCATAAGAAAAGGCAGCAGCAGCCGCAGCGGCTGCGGCTGCTGCTGTTGATGGATCATAGGATATGGTAGATGATCCAGACCCAGATGGATTATCCACCATCATAGGTGGATTAAGATCACCTAAAAAGCCTAAAGCCGAACCCGAAGGCGGTGGAGGGGACGAGGGCTTCCCAAAGGATAATGAGGTGGTGTTGGTGGTAGAGGATGTAAAAGAACATCTAGGTAAGTGAAGAAGTGTAAGAAGATCAGTTGTTGGTTGTAAATTTTCATCAAAATGAGTAAACCCATTACCAATTTCATGGGTTAAATTAGTGGGACCCCATGAATTTGGATCATGATCATTAGGATAACAGTTTGGTAACATTGGTAAATGGGTAGTAGTAGTACTAGTACTGAACCCATTATTGTTATTCCCAAGATTAGGGTTTTGGAATTCCATTGAGGAATCAGATTCCTGGGTTTGGTGATTATGATTGTTTGTTTCATGGGAAATAAACCCATTAACAGAAGGAATAGCAGTTGCAGCTGCTGATTCAGGGATGTTGTTTGGGTCAAAACAAGCAGCAGCAGCAGCAGTAGCAGCTTCTGTTGTCTGATCATACATTTTATTTTTCTCTCTCCTCCTGCAAATTTCCTTTATTTGTGGGCCTATGTCTCTGCACAAGATCAGTTGATTCTTTGTTTTTAACAACAACAAAAATAAAATGATTTTATCATTGGGGATCGTGATAAGACAAATGTTTTAACGATACTGGCTCAAGGCCGATAAAAAAAAAAATCATTAAGTACTTGATTAGAAAAAGATTAGGGAAGTTGGGAGGGGAGGAAAGCATGAGGGTGTATTACAATTAGAAAGTGTAATTACTATAAATGGAAATATACATTAACATTTTTATTGTAATAAAATTTTATGGGGTGTTAATAATTTGCTTACCTTTTATGGATTGAATGTATGAGAGAAAATGAAGGATTGAAATTTTAGGAGAGAGAAAGATAAGGGTTTTGTCTTGGTGTTAAGAAGAGGGATATGAAGGAGAAGGTAAGGGTATGTTTATATATACTTGGTAAATTGGGGAATATAAGGGTTTTTTCTTTCTTGTTATTCTTTTGATATTTTTGGGTGTTTGGTTGGTTGGACTTCTATTGGGTACAAATTTTTAGTTAGTCTTAAAGAATAAAAGGTAAAAATTATTACAAGTAAATGTTTTGACTTCTTCATAATTCAATGGTAAGGATTTTGGTCTTACCATAAGGTTGGATTATTGTCTAGAAATTGTACTATTCGTAGAAATAATTAGGTCATATAATTAACTCTAGTACTTACTCTACTCCGTACATGATTATTGTCTAGAAAACTATTAAAAGTACAATCAATTAAACTTGATATTTAAGCTGAACTCATTATATATCACGTTTGATTTTATAAAAAAAAAAAAAAAAAGTGTAAAAGTTTTGTTTCTAAGCTTAATTGATTTTATTGAAATTAAATGAAAATATAAAAGAATCATTTAATTTAATGCTGAGCTTAAGAAATTCCTTATCTTTTATAGAGTAGCAATTTCTAAAAATTGGACACTTTTAATTATGATTATTACTCACTCCGTACTAGATTTAGTTAGTGTATTACACATTGTTACACCACTTTAAAGATTTATTTTACGAAAAATTACTTATTTTATCATTATTAGTGACAATCAGATATGAGTATGTTTTTCTTCTATGACTTGTAATATGTTTTCATGAGGTTGAAAATTTGAGGTGGCCTGGTCATCATATATGATCCATCGTGTCTTAAAAGGTTTGGTTTCTCATTAATGTTTTTGTTACATTATTTTTAGTTACATTGAGGATCAAGGAAATTAAATGAGAATTACAGTCACGTGAGATTTCTAGTTAATACTTCGTATAAGGGCAAGTTCTCTTCAGTATATAATTTTCAATTCAGTTCAGTTCAGTCTAATTCTGCTTCAATCAGTTCAGTTTAGCTCAGTTTCGTTCCTAATTTTCTTCTCTCATAAACATTTCATTTCAGTTCAGTCCATTTCAACTCATCTCAGTTTAGTAAATCAGAACATGCCAGTCTTAATTAGTAGGCATATAAGTTTCACTCAAGAATCACTAATTTATTGCTCCATATTATTTCGAAAAAATTAAATATAATTTACCACCCCATATTATATTATATTATGGGACATAGTTACTCATACATGAATACATATATGATATATGGATTATTGTAGGGAATAAGTTATCTATTTCCATAATCTATATCATACATATTAACATATGCATGTAATACGACAAAAGATATATAAAAAACATATACAAGTAAATAAATTGATGATCTAGGATGTGGTTGACAAAATTATAATTTAGCTAAAAAATCAGAAGGTAGTTGAAATTATAAACTAATTTGAAAAATCAGCTGGAAGTTAGTTAAATGTTAAGAAAATGGTAGCTAAAGAAAATTAACAGTACAAAAATTTAAGAAAAACAATATTAATTGGAATGTCCATAATTAGAAGATGAAAAGCTAGAAATTAATCAAAATTTTGCACTCACTAGATGAAATGAAAAGCTAGCTTAGCTAAATTAGATATTGCGAGGTGGCTGAAAGGTGCATGAACAACTTTCCCTTTCATGTGAAAAGCTAGATTAAATTTTTGTAAAATAAATTAAAATATGTTGACATACTTACAATTATTTTATATTTCGAAGATTCATAAAATAAAAAATATATAATGCTGATCCGATTGTAATATTCGTTTGATTAGGAAGTTGATTGGAATTTAGTGAAGTGCAATTGTCATGCCTTTACATTTTCTCTCGGGGGTTTCCGATTTTTAGGATCGAAAATGGTCAAATTTTTTATGACTCCAAAAAAAATAATGCAATGGAGTTGTTCATATTGGACAAAAAAAAAAAAAAAAAAAAAAAAAGAAAAAAGTAGACAATAACAAAATGGCAAAAGCTAACGAACACCCCGGGGGTGTTGGATAAGCTAGGTAAAAGTAAAAAGATTAAATTAAAATAAAAATTAAATAAAACTGATTGACGCGTGATTTTGTCATATTTTTCCAAATTAATATCATTTTAGGCAATATTTTAAATGCTTATCCATGCCCCGGGGGCGTTCGTTAGCACAATCCTAACAAAATTATAAGCTCGAGGAGCTGCCTTTACATTATTGTTGATTGATTTTCAGATGAAACCTATTCAAAGGTTTAGAAAGATTATCATGTACACCGTATATCCATGAGTAATTTGTTCTCATTTTGATAATTGTTTTTCATTTAATCATTAAATGAAGACTAAAAACTAACCTTGAGTTAGTTGTGTGTACGGTACACTCAAGTATACCAATACTTTTTTTTTTGACACTCGAGTATACCAATACTTGATTGATAGAGAATTAGAGAGTTATCTAACTTTATACTTGTATCTATTATTTTTTATTAATTATATATAGAATCGTTACTAATGATAATTTTCCATAGTTAGAGTTGCGGGTAACTTACCCTTTTCAATAAAGATTGGGAATGTTTGAGAATAAATTTGTAGATAATCTTGTAACTACACCAACTAATTAACGTAATTTGAGAACCAATAATCGAAGTATTTTTGCCTGTCTAATAGGATACCAAGTATAATAAGCAAAGTAGCTGGTTGACATTTCCTCCACAAACAGTTTTATGATTCACGAGAGAGATGCATGCATATCTCTATTTTTATTTTTATTTTTATTTTTTAAAAAAAATTACCCTGTTGATTATGACATGCTCAAGCTAAAGGCGTGTTCGGCGCTAGCTTTTGAGTAGCTTTTAAATAGCTTTTAGTGGTTTGACCAAGTCAAACCACTATTCAACAAAAAAAGTGAGTGTTTGGCAAAGTAATGGTTCAAGTAGCTTTTAGTGGTGGAGGTAGCTTTTATTAAAAGCTAGGATTATTAGTTTTTGAAGTTAGAGGTAGCTTTTGAAGTAGCTTTTGAAAATTTAATGTATAGTTTTAAAATTAAAATATTGATTCTTAAATGTAACAGCTAGTCAACCACTACTTTACCGAACAATCATACCTAAATTATCTTTTTTCACAGCTAGCAGCTTGTTGACAGCTAACAGCTATCTCCACAGCTCACAGCTATCTCCACAGCTACAGCTACCTTCACAGCTACATTTTGCCCGAACATGCCCTAAGACTATCATTCTTTTAATTTGTATTAGTGACTTATGGTGAGCGTTGTATGTATTTACCTGATTTTAACTTATTTGGATATATATGAATTACATCAACTTAAGAATAAACCTTTGATATCCCTGATTTTCGCTTATTATTTGATCACATATAAACTTATTATTATTAGACCTTATTACAACTATATAAGTTGTAAATTGAACTTGGATGTCCCTTATTTGAACTTACTTTTCATGATGAATTACCAAGGCTTATTAATTTTCAAATGAATCCTAAATTTAGGGAAAATAAAGTGAATTGAATGTGACTTAAACGTGTTATTTAAGTAACTTATTCAATAAATAGGTTGGATAAGAAGCTTCAACCCGTTGATTATCAAGCCAAATACAATTCGAAAGGGATTGAAACTTAACCACCTAGAACTAAGCCCTGAATACGAATTTGCCTAAAGAGTGAACCGAGTGGAACCAAAAAAAAAAAGTGACTCACTTGATCTCTAATAATCAGGTTAATTTAATCCTTATATTTTTTTTTTTGAAATAATTTAATCCTTATATAGTTATATCCATACAAAAAGGAAAATAAGCATAGAGAAAGAGGCTAATTCACGCAAAAAAAGGGGATATATCTGCCAGAAAGTTAGTTTAGGTTGTCTGAGTAAAACAGAATTGAAAAGTGGGACCAGTGATTAGCAAGAATTCCACGCAAAATGGGAGCCTGAACTAACTCCTCTTATTAGTATTAACCGTTTTCAAATTCTTCAAACAATGAAATTTTTATTCTTTCCTTTGAGTAGGTAACACCGAAACTCTAGTACTTTTAAAGAAATTAATCCTTTACCAAGCGAGTTAGTTTGGGATTTTATTATTATATTATTATGATCATCAACTTAACATGACATTCTTTTTGTTGCCTCATTTTTTGGATTTTCTCCACATTTTTTTTTTATAATATTTTTTTTGGACTTTGGAGGGCTTTTGGCTGCTTAATATTCACAGTAACAAGAGGTATCATAAAAGTACAAAAACATACTTCTTTCAATATTTAAAAAAATCGTAACAGTTTTATGATAAGGGTATCCGGTGCATAGCTTAAACCATTAACATGGTAAATAAATTTCTATGATATTCAATCATTTACTATATTAACTCTTCCTTCATTTTTCTAATGTATGACGAATTTCACGTTGATGAATTGTCTATCATTATGAGTTTAAGACCTACAACCTTAAAGTCATAAATCAAAATGAAAATGTGTAAATCAGGAATAAAGAAAGTAAAAAGTTGCCAAATAGTGAAAATATTCAATCAATTATAAATTACATGTAATCAAGAATGTTTTCTTATAATGTTACATACTTCTAAGGTAATCAAACAAGAAAATAATCAACAACCTGTTCTATATAACTTACAAACCATATGCTTGTGGACAGGGGAAGATGCACTAATTTACAAGACATGCTTAAGAACTATAACTTGTAAACATCATTTGTATAATTGTTGTGTATTCTAATGTTTCATTCTTTAGCCCTTTTTTCACTGCTTCACCCCATATCCACAGTGTCCAGCTTGATTCACAATTCTCAATTCTATACAAAGATGTGGGAAGTGATTGAAACCTTCGTAGGAAAAATTCGAACCTTGTTGCAGAAATGAAGTTCATAGTATTTGCATAGCTTGGTATATCACCAAATGAAGAATTAAGTCGATTTCAACAAGATCCACGATGATGAAGAGTCCAAAATTCACAAAAATTAGCTCCTGTAGAACGAAATAATTTAGAAAATGCAGCATATGAAACGGAAATTTGTGTCATGACCAAAATTTGGCTTATATAACTATACAGAAAGCAAAATTATAAATCTAAGATTATCAGAAATAACACAGTAGTGATACCAAAATCAAACTGCAGAAATCTCCCCAGACTTCTCTTAACATTACTAACCAAATTCATCAAATCATCACCATAACTTACTTCAGAAAGAAGAGGGTCACATCAAAGAAAGAAAGCGAACCGATTCTAATGTTAGGATCTTTTTTGTTTGGGGAGGGGAGATGGGGGATGGAGATCTTATAATTGAGTGTCATAGACCAAAAGAAAGAAAACTAGCAAATAACACAGTGAGTCACTCCTATTAATGGCCAAGAATCTAACCTGACTAATGTCCACTATAATACAAGAATTAGTCATTAAACCCTGGTAAAAAGTTCACAATACAAGTGAAGTAAAAAAATTATACATTACGTGAGGAATAGACCCTGGTAGAAAATTTACAGACTATTTAAAGTACGTGTAAACTAGAAGGTGATACAACGGTGTTAGAAGATCTTAATTACCATAGGTTAAATAAACAAATCCAGAGTAATTGTTGGATCACTCGTATTTTCACGACCAATTTCACTGTCACTTTATAATTCAGGCATGACAAACCTTACAAGTCCACAAACCATCTTACTCTTATACATGATTTATCCCTCATTCTAATGATAATTAAGCTGCTGATCCATGCTGTGGCTATACAGCTAATCTGCTATAGTGGTGTACTGTCTTACTGTCTCAGAATATTAGTACATGATTAACTTACTTTAGGGATTAATATCTCATTAACAATCCATCATCTCTCCCCAACATCTCTGAATTTTCATACTTAATTATGTAATTTTATAACAGAGAGAGAGAGAGAGACCTGAAATCATGTCACGGTATGCAAGAGAGGTACCTCAAGTCTCAACATCTTGGTGAACTGTAGAGAAAATCAATCAACTAATAAGTTAACAATTCAATTATGATTATTATATAATATAATTTTGATAACCTGTTTTGATCAACTAAACTTCAAACTATTCCGCTGATCCATAGTTCTGTACCATTACAAGAGGGGCCTATTATAACAAAGGTCCTTGTAAATGTGAAAAGGAGCACTAGGCATTGATTGCTCACACAAAGGCATGTTGTATACTCGTATTACATGTGCAAATGAATGCCTAGTTGTTTACACAAGCTGAAAATTTATTTGGATCTCCTAAGGGGAAGGAGCAGTAGGATGAAGAAGAAAGAACAAGATGAAGAAAGGGAAAAACCTGCATAGTTTTCAGCTCCAATTCTTCCCACTCTAAGGAAGGATCACTTCCCTCAACAATTCCAGTTCCAGCATAAAAGAAAGCACCAAGACCCTGTGAAATGAACACCAAATTATAAATGTAAGCTGGTGAAAAATTTCACGGCCATCAGCAGAGCACAGGCCAGGCAATGCAACAAAAAGAAAAAAAATCAAGAATTCCATAGTTTTCAATCAGAAGGATTCAGAACTGTCCACAGGACAAAGTTCCACAACTTACCTTCTTTACTAAAGCAGACCTTATCCCAACTGCAAATTCAGCTTCTTCACCTCCAAACCAACCAATAGGGCCAGCATACATTCCTCGGTCAAACATTTCTGGGAAAAAAAAGAAAAAGAAAAAGAAAAGAAAACATCTGAGGAGCTACTAGAATCTATTGAATTGGTTAGCAAAAATTAAAAAGAAGCAAGAACGATTCTTTATATACCAACATGACATATGCTGTAGTATCTGATGTAACTTAGAACTAGCATTAACTCTATATCTAAGCACATATGTGTTATGGACTGACTTAGGATTTTCTAATTTAAGGACTAATTAAGATATAAAAGCTTGATAATTTAGATTAATAATGGCAGAATTTGGATACAAAAGGATAGATTAATAGCTTAAGGCTATCACTCTCTTGATAACTTTAGGTTATCACTCTCCTAGTAACTTCAGGTTACTACTCTCAACATTTTTTTCCTCACAATTCACATGATAGCTAATGCATACACTATCCCTTATTTATACTAAGGTTTAGTGAGGAATAAGGGCTACTAACCTAAAAGTACTAAAATTCCCAAACTACCCTTGTTAATGTTAGTCTATTACAATATGTTACCTCAAAATAGCATCAACTCTATATCTAAGCACATATGTTACCTCAAAATCAGTTTCTATGGTAAGTTAGGATATAAAATCATTATATTATATCAGTTTAAACCTTGATTAATGTGGCTCTTATGACTTGTAATGAAGATACAAGCATATACTTTCAACTTAATTCAATGCACAAAACTAATCACAAAGTAGAAATCAAAAGTTCAAGTTTATGGTTAGACAGAATACCAGTTTCTGCAATAAGGCAACGTGCATCTTCAGCTGGAAATCCACACACAGCTGGACTTGGGTGAAGAGAAGATAAAATCTCAAACTGAAATTCATTCAAAAAAGCAGAAAAAGGTTATATACTAATACATAATACACTCACAAACATCTCTTTCTCCAAAAAAGAAGATATTCACTTTTCCTAATGCTTGTACCTTTGTACAGACTGAAACTTTCTTCCAAAATGCAGTTATAGGAACTTGTAATCATTCTTCCAAAATGATACTACCAATGAAATTAACTTTCTTCCAGCCTTACAAATATAACTGCACCTCTACTACAACCAGGGTAGTATTCTTCCAAAATGCTGAACACATTAAAAGTCTAATTTCAGAAACTACACACATTGCCTAGCTCCTGCTTCTATATTACTTTTGTTGAATCCGTCATTATTTCAAAAAAGGAAAGTTATAAGCTCTAGATCAGCAAATATTGGGTTCCCTGTCTTCATTTGGTGAGATGCTCGGCCATGTCCATAAAAGATGCTCAGTTAACTTTATTGGTAAGTATCATGCAGTACAGTATAATAAAGAAATAACTCTGTTCAAAACCATCACGTAATGGAACAGTGACAATAGGGGCATACTGATAAGATAAGAATCTTTCAACATAAAAAGTAGAACACGTTGTAAGCACAAATTTTAAATTTCCGATGTGGTACTTAAACAATTTATATGTGCCTACACACTTATTCCCAAAATAAAAAAATTAAAAAATAAATAAATAAATAAAAATAAAAATCATAAGCATACCTCATCATCTTCACTTCTTAATCTTCCTTTTAAATTAGCATACAGATGTTGTACGCTGGGAAGCTTTCGTATTGCCTTCTGGGGATCCACTAATACTGAGTTACACACAGACTGAAAAATATTCAAAGATATGACGTAAGTAATAGGTAACATTAGTCAAGCCTCAATAAATAGTTTCTACTCTTAAGGCAGAAAAAGTATTATCAAGAAAAGCCTATCTGGTAGCTATAAATATTCACTCACCTCAAGTTTCTTCTTTATACACTGCCTTACAATTGTAAACTCTAAGTTGTCTTTTGGGCTGGAAAGCAATGTGACAAAAACAATATTTGTCAGCTAAACAACGACGAAATCATATATCAAATAGCTGGGTTACTCTAATAGCAGGGTTGACCTGGAGAGAAGATCCAATGCTGTCTTATGATCCAAAATCTCTGATCCACATATGGCTCGGGTTCCAGCCAAAGCTTCACTCCAAATGTTAAGCTTCTTTCGGTGAAATAGCTGCTCTGGCTATAGCATAGATTTATCAATGGTTACTAACAACACAAAGGCACAAATCACAAGCATCATCCACAACACCATAATGGTCAAGCTTCAACATCCAATATATTCAGTGTTTTCAGTCCAATCACAGACTTGTAACATTATTAGTGTGAAAAGCAGGTGCCAAAAATCCTTCTGGGTACTTTAATTGAATAAACCAGTAGAACAGGATGAAACAAGGTAACCTATTCTTAGTTCATCTGAAGAATGTTAGGAATTGAGAAACTTCATAGAGAAAGAGAGAAATAAAGAAATGCTCATGAAAGATCCATAGGTGCTAAGAAAGTAAGAATAGCTTTGCAATTCCATTAAGGGCTCCAATAATCTGCTGTGACATCTTTCAAAGTTTCAATTTTGTCAAGAACGCTGAACGAAAGGCAGTATATTAGATCTTATATTTATATGCATATTGTCAGGCAAAGTCTCATGTTGTGACTGTCATTTATGTTAAGTATAAATCAGTTGCTCCTCTTGTGAAACAATGAACTAAATCTAATAAATCAACTTTTTTTGGTGTGTAGAAAGACCTTTCCAAATGCATCTTACTATGTAAGAAAGACGTGTGTTTTCGAAAAAAAAAATGTAAAATGGCATGTTTCATGTAAGCTAAGAATTAACAAACTACCACCAAAGACAAATTAGAGAAAGGGGAATTGGAAACTTACAGTGTTTCCAATGAAAGCTGGTGCATTGGGTGGCTGAAGCAAGAACTGGTAAGCATTATCCCCCTCAGCCTACAACAATAATTAAAAGGGAACTAGACCATAAAATTAAAACTATAGAGTTTACAGGATATCACAACTTTTACTGAAAAATAGACTACCTGTAAACAAGCTAACCATGCTAGCGGGTCAATATCGGATGTAGTAAAGATTCTGCTACTACGTGCAAGTACAGCCTAGTGTCACATGAAAGTTACAAAAAAAAAAAAAAAAAAAAAAAAAAAAAAAATAAAAGACAGAATATTAGAATACATAACACTATAACAGTACAATACTACGAAGTAAATTATACAGTGTTAGACTAATTAGAGTGTCCCAAATCCGATACCTTTGTGAGTGCTGAGCTGCTTCTGATCATCTTCAATGCTTTTGTAACAGCAATCTCCCAATTTTCCTCATCAGGGATGTGCAATATATCGGCCCTAATTGTAGTTTTAGGAAATTTTTTCTCTGACTTGAAGATGAAAAATTTGACCTATGACATTAAAATAAACTCACTGAAGAGGGGCTCAATGTTCAAAACAAAACACGCAATGTTTACAAGCTAAGGTTACCTGATCCAAGGTTGCTTGAAGGGAATCAATTGCTGATTCCCAAGGGCATGAAAGGCCATTATCCCATGCAACATTGGCAGCCAACAAGGACCTTCCTTCGAATTCATTGAACTCAACCTGTCATTCATGTCTAACAATGGGTTGTTCATATATTAAAATAATACCTGGTAGCACCGCTTATCAACAAGCATCACATACATATAACAGTAGAAGAGGGGTCAAGTTGGTCTACCTGAGGAACCATGAAGTAGAAGGAGCCAAAAGGCTCCCATTCCTTCGATATATCAACTTTTGCATCAAATCGGATCGCCCCGTATGCACGAATCAAAGGACAACTCTTTGACAAGAACCTTCAAACCATACATGTATTACATTACATGGTTAGAAATCTTACAAAAAGTTTTTAATATCCCAATTTAACTTGATAGTAAAATTATATAATATAACACCCTCTAACAAGTTAATCATCAATCAGCATCATATTTCATAAATTCACAAAATTTCTCCTAGAAAATTCTTTGATGAACAATAAATTGTCAAATTCCACTAAACAATTCTTCAAAAAAAAAAAAAAAAAAAAAAAATCCATTTAACAATACTCTTTTAGTCTCAGCAACTTATATAATTCTTCCGCCAAATTGAAAAATGTTGCGATTATTGATTTGTAAAGTTGAGTCTTGTTAATAGAAACCAATAATTTCAGTAATAATATCATAGTATAAAATAGCATGATCTATAAACTAAAAAATTTAAATCTTACTCAAATTTAAGCTTAAAATTAGCGAATTTTAACCACCAAAAAAAAAAAAAATCGGCTTTTAATTAACAGCAGAAAATTACAGAAATTCAGTATTACGTATTACAAGAATTAATTAAAAAAAAAATGAAAGAAATTGAAGAAGAATACCTCTTAATTGAACTCCAGTCACCAAATGAGAAAGGGCGAAAATGCTGAAAATAAACGGCAGCACCTAGACCTGCGACGCTGATGAGATCATGGCCGTAGATTTCACCATTGTCGTTGGCGTCGATGAAATCAGAACCGTTGAATTGACGTCTACCGGAGAAGAAAAGGCGAGGGAGTTGGTGGTGGTGGTCTTGTGAATGAAGCCAATCTATGGCTTCTATCTCTTGCTCTATTGGTACCTTTCAAAATTAAATTCAAATACTATTGATTTTATATTGAAATTAACGCCACAATAATGATGTAAACGGAATTTGATAAGGCAAACGATGCAAGGTTAAGATTTTGGAAGGACTTTTTTTTTTTGTTGTTGCCAAAAACAATAAAAGATTGGGTTTATTTGGGTCTAGCTTCATCCCTAAATTATCACAAGTACATTTGATGCTTAATTTTAACAAGTATCTAATTTAAACTTTATGATGTGTTGTATGATTTGAAACACAATCAAGTAGGTTAATTGGTCAAAATCAATGACCTATTTGATTTTATTTATAGACAGAGTAGTTACAGTCTCATGTCATAAATCAATAGGTTCAACATATTGAGTAGATACTAATTAGCTCAATTAGTTAAAGTTTTGTGAGTAATGGTGTCAAATTAATCTCATATATACCATCCCTGTCCTAGGCTCTCCAAGCTCTCTATACCCTTAGTATATCCTTAGTCCAATGTCTTAATTTCTCATAGAGTTGTTACATACTATTCTCTCCGTCCCTAAATTAGAATCATATTTCTCTTCATTATGTTAGAATAAATATTAGAAAAAGGCTTGTAATAAAAGGATGAAGGGAGTAGCTAATATCACATCAATAAATAATTCTACTTCCTCATTTTCTCACAGAGTTGTTACGTACCAATTAATTTTAATTCAAATAATTAATTTCGCATTTAATTTTTCAATCATTCCAACCCAATTACTACTCATTAGTCTTAACCTATTTCCACTTGTTTCAGAAGTTCAAATAAATTCAGATAAAATATTTTTAGAAAAAATAAATTTAGATATGTTGTGATAAAGGTTAATCAGGATGGAGAGAGTAGCTAATATTACATTAATAAATAATTCTGCTTCCTCATTTTCTCACAGAGTTGTTACGTACAATTAATGTCAATTCAAATAATTAATTTTGCATTTAGTTTTTCAATAATTGCAACCCAATTACTACTCATTAGTCTTAACCTATTTCCACTTGTTTGAGAAGTTCAAATAAATTCAGATAAAATAATTTTAGAAAAAAATAAATTCAAATAAGTTGTGATAAAGGTTAATCAGGGATTCAGGGCTACCCAAGTTCAATTTATAAGTAAAAAAATAAGGGCTAATAAGTTTAGATAAGAAAAAATCAGGTGAATAGAACACATCCTAAAACCTCGCATTGGTCAATCACTCAATCCTATCTAAGTTAATGGGCTGAAACTTAGGAAGGAGGGGGGGGGGGGGGAATATGAGAACCTCCTCCTTCAAAGTGCTTCTAGTGTAAATTGAACCCCCAATCTCAAAGTTAGAAAATCATTTTACCACTAAGCCTACATTTTAAACTAATAACTAGAGGACATTATTAGACAATTAAATGGTGGTGGAATAAAAGAATTATTAGACAATAAAATTATTGCAGAATCAAAGAACTCCCACTTAATTCTCATGGTAGCCATGTATATAATTTTAATTTATAATAATTACTAATAATTGAAAAAAAAAAAATTATAGACAACACATATCGTCAAAATAGGAACAACAAATGAAGACAAAATGAGGTCTTTTCACTGATAATTTGTGACTAATAGTCTATTTAAAGTAGCTCATCTGATTTTATTTTAACTTATTTTGATGCATTAGACAAAATCATTAAGTTGAAAAAAAAGGGATAATTTCAAATGCATAAAAATTAAAAATAAAAAAATTAGGCAGAATATTTTCCTCTTAAAACAATATAAATTCAAATATAATACGGAGTAAGTTAATATAAAATTTGATTAAATTATTCCATACAAAAAACAAAGCCTAAATTACTACACATTATTATTACTTTAGCCAATCTCTCATTCCTCAATCATCAACGAGTTTTGCAAAAGTATGATAGAAAGCAAGTACAAATTTCTTCAAAGTTCTCTTCTCTGTACACCACAAAGAGTGATTTTTAGGATAAGGAAAAGGATAATACAACTCCTATCCTAACTCACTTATCACAACGTTCACTTCATACCTTTCCTCAATGTTCGATAATTAAGAGCCCACATACCAATAAACATCATGATTATTGTTCAAAGATAATAAAGTTTGGCCCACATTTTTACTATGCGACTAAAATAAAGAAACGAAGGGAGTATGGTACGTACGTATGTACACTATCAAACCAAAAACTAGCTTAATGTTCCATATATATGCAACATTCTTGCATTAAGCTAAAATATACGAAGTAATTAAGAACTTTAATAACTCTAAAGAGCTAAAGAAAAAAGTTACCTGGATTCGGATGAGACCGGAGGGGAAATTAGAGTATGGTTGGTTAGACCTTAAGTCGGAAATGGTATGTTTAAGGCGGTCCAAGGCTAGAGCCGGTGATGGAACCGAAGGTAGAGTTCGAGTTCCGACGATACCTAGTGGAATTTTGGGGTCACCTTGGCACCCATTCATAGACATAATTGATAATGAACATGATTGATAGTGGTGTCTTTGTGGTTCTAAGTCAAGAAACCGAGTAATGCACTTCCCTACAGCAAAAGAAGATGTTGCTGCAACCATGATTTGATTTTTGAGCTAAAAATGGTTAAAATTGATGGGTTGGTTCAAAATAAATTATTTGGGGGCCAATTGAAATAATGTTGCTGTGCTTCTAAGAGTTTTTAGTGGACAAATTGGGAGTGTCTTTTGTAAAATAGTGGAAGTTATGGGCAATTTGACGTATATAGACATATAGTTCATGTTTATAAAATTGATTGGTTGTTACTGTGACACATAAGGAGTTGTATTCTTTTGTGATTTTTCCCACTTCAAATGGAAAGCTGCTAGCTAGATATATGAAGAAGAAACAAAACTACTCTGAAACTAGATTAGTCCTATAGTGTTTCTTCGGAGACATCTGATAAAATCAGAACGATTCAGAGAAAACTACTCCTAAACTAGATTAGTCCTATATATAGTGTCTCTTCGGAGACATCTGATAAAATTAGAACGATTCAGAGATAGTCTTACAGTAGGTCCAACGAACCAATAAGGATTCGAAGTTGGACTTAATTTCCATCATAAGAGTTAACAAATGAGGCACTATGGTTACGAGGTTTGATTTTAGATTTTGGGTAACATATGAAAAACTATAATCAACTAAGTTAAGTGACATCTACTATAAATTGTTATAGTTAGTATTGTTCTATGATCTATTATTCCCTTAAATAGAAAGCTCCCTAGCCAAACACATAATGACATAAACAAATAAAACTACTAAAACCAAATTAGTCACTAGATATTAATCAAATGGTATCGGATTTGAACTTGGAATCATTTAATACTCGTATGAGTCGTATCATAAGAGTTAACTAAGCTAATGAGAACGGAGTACTATGACTACTTTTGTAATATATTTTTGTTGTAGAGAGAGACAAAAAGAATAAATATATATGTAAACAAGAGTTGATTTTAGGTATTGGATACCAAGCATTTGCCGATTTCTACTACTAATAGTAAACAGTTTTTGGTTAAGAAAGTGAAAAGAAATAAAAATCCAAATAGAAAAAGCTTTTTACTGCAGCTTAATGTCCAATATTTAACCAGTGTTCTACTGCAACTTTTCCTACTAGTAATTAAGTATTGTTACAACAAGAAATTTACTTAAACAACCTAATATAGCTAGAAACAAACAAATAAAAATATCCTAATGTTTTTTCTTTTATTAGTATTTTTAAAAAAAGTTTCAGTAGTCAGTATATATGGAAATAAATGTTCTTAATACTAACCACAACAAAAGTTGCATGACAAGGGCCATAAATAATACGAGTATTGAGTAAAATGCTAGCAAACTCTTCATAGTACTAAAATATAAAATATTTTTAAGCAACTTGCAAGGTTCATGTATTTCATTTATATTGATATTTTCATAAAAATTCATACGACTGTCGACATATATAGACTACATGTACACTACATACTATAAATATGATTGTGCATGCATGATAATTCTCATCACTCACAAACTTCTACTCTATATAAACAAGGCTAGTTAGTGTGCATCCCATCTCTTAAAACATTGCTTGAATTCATCCACAATGAATGGTGAAAATCAAACAAAATTCGTTCTCGAAAACAATGAAGAAAAAATTCAAGAGGTGCAAAAAAACCTTCCAAAATCTCCTTTCATGGGTAGTGAACTTGTTCAACTAGCAAAATATCAAAACATTTGGTATGGTGATATGTATATCCAAAACATACTCAAGTTACAAAGAAACTTTGTAGCTCAAGACACCGATCTTATAATTGGTAGTCTCATGAAAACCGGCACCACTTGGTTAAAAGCTTTACTTTTTGCTATTGTCAACCGTGCTCACCACCCCGTTGCTCAAAGCCCTTTGCTTAGCCATCACCCACATGAACTTGTACATAGCCTCGAGCCACTCTATGGTGAGCATCCCTCACATAACCCTAATGACATCCCTTCGCCGAGGCTTTTTAGCACTCATTTGTCCTACACATCCCTTCCTGAATCCATGAAGAATTCAAAATGTCGAATTTTGTACATTTGTCGAAATCCCTTGGACATGCTTGTGTCACTGTATTTTTTCTCTATTAACTTCATGAAGAAGCAAGTAGAAGATTTCAAACCCCCTTCTATGGAGGAATTCTTTGAAGATTTTTATGTTGGGAGACATCCATGTGGCCCTTTCTTCAAACATGTTGTTGAATATTGGAAGGCAAGTTTAGAGCGACCAGAAAAAGTGTTATTCCTTAAGTATGAGGATTTGAAAGACGATCCAACTTTTCATTTGAAAAGGTTGGCTAAATTCATAGGCGTACCATTTTCACCACACGAGGAGAGTGAAGGTGTTATAACACAAATAATCGAGCTTTGTAGCATCAAGACTATGAAGGGATTGGAAGTTAATAAGAGCGACAACAAGGCAATCGACAAGTTCTTCGATAAGAAGACCTACTTTAGGAAGGGAGAGGTCGGAGATTGGATTAATCATTTCACTCCTACTATGGTGGAAAGGATGAAAAAATTGATGGAAGAAAAACTTGAAGGCACTGGGTTATCTTTTACGTTACTTCCTCAATAATAATGTTGATAACTTGCAAATCATCCATGCCATTTTATTGGGTTATATATACGTATGCTTTGTCCTTTCATGAGGTTTTTCTTCATTTTGTTCACAAATATTGTATGTAGTATTAAGATTGTTTCTTCCTGATGAATCTGTCTATTTTCTATCTATGTATGTAATTTCGTAAATAAATTCACCTCATGATTAATTTTCTATTTGAATCCTTATTTTGGGTCTTCCAATTGTAAGTTGTACTTAATCTGGTGTTTATGAACATTTAAACACGTGATGACACTTGTTAAATCACTTAATATCGTACAATATCCTTTTTACTACTCAGAGTAACTCCAATGGTTGTAGTTAGGGACTTGTTTGCATTATTAAATAATCCCTAGCTACTTAGCTTGTCTAAGCAAATTAACGCCAAGCTAATTTGCTTGAAGAAAAACTTCCCCAAATAAAACAAAATATAAGAGTCAATAAAATGAAATATAAAAAAATTACATTTAAATTGTAAGCTAATAGTTAGCCATTGGAGCTCAAATTAGCTACAATGACAATTAGTTAAAAATCTTATATGGCATGTCAAGCTAATTGTCAAATTAGCTTATCATTGGGCTAGCTCTCATGTAGTAAAATTTACAATTAGAAATCTTTAACTACTTTTGATACTTTGTAAAGAAAATAAAAAAAATTACTCCGTACATACCATATATGATAATATGAATGTGTGATAGACTGCTAGTTCATATTGGAGTCATTAGAGGGTGATTTGGTATCAATGTACCATCAGACATCAGCCCATCACCCTTAGCTCTGTTGTGAGGCCTAAGTTGTGACTCTTGTGAGGAAGTTTATCAACAATATCTAATATCTAAAATGGCAAATGTAATGCTCTTTCAAAAACCGTATAAAGCCACCAAACATGACTATTCGGAAATGGAAAAGTACATTTTATAATAAAGATTATTGAAATAATGTAAGCCCTTTGCCCCCAACAATCAATTTAAATATTATAGAATCAAATACGGATCTAGGATTATTTCATTAGGCAGGCCGAACCCAAGCCAAAAATGTGCATTGTAAGGCCAGGGTCTGACCCAAAATAAGCTCAAATTCCCTAACATGTCTCAAAGCAAGCAAGCATTGAATACAGTTTTCATTACAAAATTGATTTTGGCATGATCATACAATAATCTTAAATTGATTTTCCACCAATTTCATTCATGCATGTAGCTTCATTTTTGGAAATAATTTTAACACATTTTAATAATTTGTACCATAATTCCCTTAAATGAAGATCGAGATCGACGAGACAGTGATCCATTCCAGGGTGTCAGAGATAATTTATCATAAACAAACTCAATGCTAAAATCAAGCCTACAATAGTACATGTTATAACAGCTAGATACAATCCAGAAGTGCTAAGTCAAAGATATCATCAGTTTTATTTAAGTCATCCTTTGTTATTTGTATGTAAACCATTGTAAATTTGTAATTATTTCTCTTTGTAAACAATACAGTTCTACTTCTTCAAAAATATAATTATTAGTGTAAACTGAAATAAAATAGACGAGTACCATATACTACGTAATTTTTTTCCGCTTAATTAGGTCATGTTCTTTTAAGCTAGAACAGAACTGAATGTTTTACTACACGTACTACTATTATTACTTACTATTCCCTATTATTATTAGTATCACCTATTGCTATTGCTATTTTTACGCCTACATCTCTTCACTTTATTCAAATCACATTTAGTAAAAATAATTAAAGTTCAGTAAAAAAAAACAAAAAAAACAAAATAAGTTCATTTCAGGATAAACCAATAGCTTCAAAAAAAACAAAAATAATAGAGTTGGGGGGGGGGGGGGGCATGAATATGAATGATCATCCTTTGATATTATATGACAAGTTGACATGATTCATGAGGCTTACTACTTCATTGTAAAATCTTTGTTCTAGGTTTATGAGTTTAGTCATCAAAATCAATTCCAATTTGATTTCTATCTCTTGTGTGAAGAAAGTGATGTTCGTTGCTGACTTGTGAGAAAATCGAACACAAAAAACCACACATCATTACAATGCTATTAGTAACTGTATTTTGTACTAGGTAATTCTACTTTTAATATATACACTTCATAAGAAGTATGTTTAACATTTGAGTACTCGCGCATACAAGATGGTTTATACGGAACAAAGAGCTCGAGAGTATATGCTAGTATAAAAAATAATTCATACTGTAATGAAATACTTGTATGTGTCAACCTTTGCGCATTTGACATGATCATGCAACACAAAAATCTCAATTTGATTTCCACTTTTTCATGCATGTTGTTTAAGGAACTAATTATACGAAATTACAAAGTAACATTTTTAGTGCTTTATACAATAATTCCCTTATATGAAGATCTAGGTAACGATCCATTCGAGTATATCAAAGATAACAATCGTTGACAAACTCAAGCCTACAATCAAGCTATGCCAAGATCATGCACATAATAAACTATATATCACAGCTAGCTACTGTTGATATAGCTACTGTTGATAATTGATTGATCAAAGCTTTAATCATCATTTTGTATGTAACTATAATAAGTTTTAATAACTGTTTTTCTAATAAGTATCCATGATCAAAGATTTATCATAATATTATTAAGCTAGCTCATATTTAATCTTATTAATATAGCAATTAAGCATGGAATCTTTCCACAAGCTAACATTTAAAATAATTCTTCAAAATATATAGCTAAACTTCCTATTTAAATTCACTATTTCCCTAATTATGTTAAACTCATTTTTTCTTAATACTTCTCACATAAAAACACTTCAATCCCGAGCTTTGTTTATATAATTCCTATACGGCTATACACAAACCCTTTCAATATTGGGTTCCATCTTTAGCTCAAGCTAAGAAGTAAGAACATGAATTCATCCACAATGAATCCAAATCAAACACAAGATCAGGAGACACTACAAATGCTTGAAAAAGAAGTTCAAGGCGAGCTCGAAAAAAGATGCCTTCCAAAATGCTCCTTCATGGGCAGTGAGCTAATTGAACTAGTAAAATATGAGAATTTCTGGTATTGAGGTAACTATATCCAAAGTATATTCATGTTACAAAGACACTTTCTTGCTCAAGACACAGATATTATCATAGCTGGGCTTATGAAAGTCGGTACCACTTGGTTGAAATCTTTACTCTTTGCTACTGTCAACCGTATCCACCACCCTATTGATCAAAGCCCGTTGCTTAACACTAATCCACACGAACTTGTTCATAGCCTTGAGGCTCTCTATAGTGGAGCCTTTGATTACCCTTGCTATCACCATCTTAATGAGCTTACTTCACCTAGGCTATTTAACATTCATTTATCCTACACATCCCTTCCTGAATCCATTAAGACTTCTAAGTGTCGGATTTTGTACATTTGTCGAAATCCCTTTGACACACTTGTGTCATTATATTACTTCTGCATTAAGTCTATGAAGAAACAATTTGGAGAAAATTTCAAATCCCCTTCTATGGAGGATTTCTTTGAGGAAGTTTATGATGGGAAACACCCATGTGGGCCTTTCTTCGAACATGTGATTGGATTCTGGAAGGCAAGCTTAGAGCATCCGGACAAGGTATTGTTCCTTAAGTACGAGGATTTAAAGGATGATCCAGTATCACAGTTGAAAAAATTGGCTAACTTCATAGGTAAGCCATTTTCGCCTAGAGAAGAGAGTGATGGTGTTATTCACGAAATTATAGACCTTTGTAGCATCAAGAATATGAAGGAATTGGAGGTTAATAAAGGCACAGAGATGGTCATGAAGTCACTTGAGAACAAGATTTTCTTTCGTAAAGGAGAGGTAGGGGATTGGATCAATCACTTCACACCTAACATGGTTGAGAGGATGAATAAACTCATGCAAGATAAACTTGAAGGTACTGGGTTGTGTTTTAAGTTACTCCCTCAACCCTACTCTTACAAAGCCAACCTTCAATGAGCTATCCATTTCAGTCATTGTCATTGACGCTGTCATTGTTGCTGTTATTTTTTTTTTTCTTTTGTCTAACATTTTTCCTTACCAAACTCAGGACCATAGTTTGGGTTCTTCACGAGTCTGGTTTCTATAATAAAATCAAGAATCTACTTGAATAACTTGGCAGTTTTAGTGTTTCTTTTAAAGTATGTTCTCAAAGAATGATGGTGCACATAAAATCCTAACAACTTGGAAATTATATGGAGCATTTAATGAAAGCATGAAAACCTCCTAGAAATTACACTCTTATGGAAAAATTGGGACTTTGGAGATTGTAATTAATCTCTTCACTCGCTTAAAAATAACAGTAGTGTAATGTTGGCTAATTTTTTGGAAAGAAGAGAAAATTTTATGAACATACACTACAAGCCTCCCTAAAATATGTCACACGCTAAACTCAATACTTGTATAAATGCAAAAATTTACTACGTAAAAAGATCAGCAGCGATAAAGTCTGCACAAATTAAGGGAATAAGAGTTCAGTGAACATCACCATTCATCATCAGGGAAAAGCAGTTGATATCATTCAGGTGTCAAAAACCTCACAGCCCTGCATCAAACCCTGAATTATCACCAAAAGATCAAGATGACAACAACACTTTGGGCCATCAAATGCCAGATAATTATGTTCCATGCTTAACAGTGTGACTAGATGTCATCAACCTCAATTGAGCTTTTGGGGCTTACTCTTGGCCAAATCAAATTGTTCTGCATATCAATCACCAAGGACTTTAGGACAAAAATGAGAAAACTAAAGCAACACCCTCTTGAATAGTTGAATCATTTTACTTACTCTGCTCATATGTGATTGCTTTTTGGATGGTTGTACGGAAAAATATGTTTCCATTCTTCAGATAGACATGCTGAAGATAAAAAAATAATGAAAAGGATTCAGTAGCAGTTAAATACTGATTGTCATAATTGAATCATAAGTGCACTCCTTTGCAGCAGAAACAACACCAGCAAATATAATAAAAAATACAGATCTCATTTGCCAAGTAAATTTCCAAATTTGCATAGTTATAGAATTCAGGAGTATAATATTGGCTTTCTTATAGAATTAATTATATCAAGACTTCATCTTGCTTGTGTTTAACACATTAGTTATGGTACAAGATAATTTCCCCTAATCACAATTGTCCAAGTTTTGAATCCTCTCCAATCTACACCTTATCAGAAGAAATTAAACATGCTTCATTCTTTCTCCGCCCCCCTGCTTCCATTTTCTGGCATTTGACAATTTTTATTCCCATCCCCCCCCCCCCCCCCCCTCCAATATCCTTTTTCTCTTAGAAGGTAAAAAACTAGAAGCAATGAACAAACAGCATTAATGGCAGAAATGATGAAGAGCATTACCAACACATAGGCAAAAAAGATTTCCAACATTCACTATCACTTAAACGTCCTAGTTTGCACCCCACCAAGGTACAACTCCATAAGATTAAATTGCATGTAACCAAAACATCATATGACCAGAGCGCTTCCAAGACTGAAAACACTCTCTCCTTAGCCATACATATGTACTGTTTGCTTCTTCCTTCACTACTTAATATGATGAAAACCCCTACTATGATTTTCATGCTGCGAATCCATGCCATTCAGGCATTCTTTCCATACCAAAAGTACAATCATACACGGATCCTGGCATACTGCACATCACTAAGACACCCACCATTTAACAGAAGAAAACCCTATTTAAAGCCAGTTCCAAGACTTCCAAATTCCATTGTTCCAACTCTTGGAGCACTTGGATTATACTCCGTACTTCGTACTACATATGTAACTAGGTATAATGTAATTATGTACTCCGTATGTCCAACATGAACAGGCATACACAGATGTTTTAGGCACATTATGCTCGTTACACGATACAACGTATCATTCAATTATTACTCCGTATGAGTTTATGATTAATAGAAGTAGATAATTCCTTTCTCATTGTCCTCTACAACTTTTCCTTCCTATTCTCACTCTAATGCTTTTCTTTCCCCTAATTCCTCTAAATATATTGCAATCAATCAACAATTCAACACTTCATATCATACTACACTGCAAACTAGGGCTTTCTTCCATTGTATATTCATCCCAAAAAAAAAAAAAAAAAAAAAAAAACCCTAATTGAAATGAATACAGTAATAATACAAAGTATTACGATCAAAATTGGCACTATTTGAGCGCAATTGAATCAAATTTTCAGGGTTTAAAGAGAAAATAAATGAAATGAAATTCATAATCAGGCATAAAAATTAGAAAAAATGGAGGTGAGTTAAACTCTAACCCTAGAAGAAGGTAGACTGTTAAGCTCTGCAATTGCAACCTCATGACGTTTAATCTGCATAAAATTGAGGAGTTACGAAAGATTGCATTAGCGTAATTTGAATGAATTAAGTTATTTGATTGAGATGAGGAGAGAGAAATACCTCAACAAGATCAAATTTTGGGTCTGAAGATGGAGAAGTTTGGGAAGAAGAAGATGATGCAGCAGCTGCCATTGCTCGGCACCTTTTAAGAGACTGCGACAAATCTACTCTTTTGATTTGTAGAGACAAGGGAGTACTTGTATAGTTGTACACTTGAACTTGTTAAATTATGAAGTTACGGGGAGCATACGCCGCATTCCAAACTGTGATGTACCCTTCGTTTTTTTAAAGGTAAGGAGAAGGATCCTATCTAACTTCTTACGGCTATACTCTGAGAGTAAAGGAAAAAGGGTAATGGCCTTAAAGTTGAAAGGTGTAATCTTTCTCACTAAACTACTTTAGTGCCTATAATAGTAGTTACGATCTTGGGGGAGAGGTGAGATTTGAGTTTAAATTTGAATGGAATTTTTTTAGATACAAAGGAACATCAAAGTATACACAACCTTGATGAATAAATTTGCTCAAATGTGGGTGTCAACTAACTTACTTCGTAGTTGGTTAAAGTTTTGTGGGTGGTTTTTAAGATAATACCTTCTTCCAAGGAGTTGAGTTTAAAAAATCGTTGAATGGTGATTTGAGTATGTTTCCTCATTAGTCATTACAAACAAACCACTGATAATTAGGCACGAGTAATGCAGTAGTGTGTAACTTGGTATAGACATTTAGCATAACATAATCACCGTCTTACGATGAAATTTAGACAGGTTGCAGATTAATTAATAAGCTGAAACATTAGACAGCACGCAACAAATTGTTAGTTCTTACAACAATGGTTACTGTTTATGCTTTCAACATCATGAATCCCCTCACAAGCTTTAGATAAAGCTGAGAGAAGATGATATAGATGGAAAAATGGAAAAATAATATGTATAGTTCCTGTATTACATGAACAAGCAAGGCCAATGATATATTATTGACAAACTCTAGTCATCAGTATCCCTGGGTAGCGTTTTGGATTGCAACGACAGCAAGAGTAACAAGGGATGCATAAATTGAATTAGGCATCTTCTGCACCACTTTCCCCACGCCTGGGACACCTTCGGTTGCCCTCTTTGTTGCTAAAGCTACTGTTGGTGCCACCACCAGACTGATGATCAGTCCCTGGCTCACCGTGCTAAATGTGTCAGCAGTTAACTCCAGCATGAATTTCACAAATTCATCTCGGTTGATTCCCCCATCCAAATTGATGTCACACTTCTGCAATTATTTTTTTAAAAAATGCCAAACATTAAAGCCATGCCATTAAAAAAAAAAGAGAGAAGCAGTGCTGACAGCTGAGAAGTGGAAACAGATTCAAGCCAATATTAGCAGAAAAACTGATTTCGAAACAGCAAATTCCGTGATCTAATATAGTGAGTTCTATCACCAATTAATACCATAAGCAGGTCATAGTTGTCACTGTAAATTTAGCGGAGATAAGATTCAAGAACAGAAATGGTCTTATTTCTGTTGTTGGCTTAGTTCTTTTCACCTTAAATTCTTAAATGAACAAGTTTCAGGAAATACATGTTCAGATAAGGGAAAAGTTCAAATTACAACTTACAGAAGTTCATACTAGCCATGGAAAAAATAGAACTGGGTTCATAATAAATAAAAAAGTTCCACTCCAATAAGTCAATAACAACGGATAAGTTCAAACAACGGTTTGACAAATGAAAGAACAAAGCTTTTACAGAGATGCTATCAGACATGAAAATTTTCCAAGTGTTATAAAGCTGAAAGTACCTCCATCAAGCCTCTGACTTCATCTTTTGACGGAGGATCAAAGTGTGGCCCTGGTAAGTACTTGTTGATATCACTGTAACAGCAAGGCATTTGTACCATTTTATTAACATGGAAACCATAGTTTTAATTAATATGGAGTATTAGACTTTGACGTAGCTAATGGAAAAAAACCACTCACTTGTAAACTATCAGGACAGCTATATACAGCTCTTCAAACGACAGTGTGACATTTCCAGTCTGAGTCTGTACACGATCAAACACTTTGTCTGTTATCTTCCTGATTTTTTTCTTCCTCCATTCCTTACCTACGCAAGATGGCAATATGACCCATCATCAGGGTGTATATAGTGACCAAGTAAATACACTGACATAAATTTCAATTAATCAATAAGAAGATATATTTTAAATATTTTATAAACCTCAACAAAGCATCATTCAATCCTTTTTGTCACTCAAGCGTTTCCTATAATCCCTTCCCATAAAGGGAAGACTTTTATAGATGAAGGATTTGATATGTAACCTACTCCATGCCATTCGAAATTGAAGTATTTAGGCTTTGTTCTCTTCACATTAAAGAAACCCACCTACTGAAGTTGGGTTGTTATCTAATCTTATGAGTGAAAATTTTGATGACTGATGTCTTCGACAAGCTGTAAAGAAGGTGGTTTGAGAAAAATGTTTAGATAAGTTCATATGAGGGTTTTAGGCTACACGAATTCAATTCACAATTATGTTGTTCTAGTAAGTAAAGATTATTTCCAATAATCATATAAAGTCCAATAAGCTCTAATAACTGTTTTTCTGTATAATAGGTAACCTTTTTTTTACTTCTTTACCTCATCTACACTCCGTGTTAAGCAAGTTAACACTAACTATTTTAATTTCTCAACTTGGAAATAGGTTAGCCAGCATCCATGGAATTTTGGACCACTTACGACAAGTTAGATTTCATCTCAAAACCAATTGACAAAATGAGTTAGCTTACTCCGCTAAACTAAATAAGATTCCATCTCAAAACCAAATGACACAAAGACGTACATGGGACTCCCCACTTTTTCTAGATACTAATAGTTACCTAGTATAATCGAATTCGCCTGCCTTCTCCCAAGCAAGACAGCTCAAGCCTCAAACTGACTCACATCACAAATACACATAAAGCATACATGGGATTCTCCACTTTTTCTAGATTCTAATAGTATCATAATCTATACACTACAACCTTAAAACTCCTATAATATCATATAAGAACAAATTTGATAAATTTTCTGCCTCTCACTAGAAGCAAATCCAAGAGATAGCTACTTTAATCAATTCTTTCCCAAAAAAACAAAAAAAAAAAACGAACATGATTAACTAATTTAAGTTGATCATGGGTTTATCATGATAACAACAATTATAACGAATAAGTAAATAAAAATCAACAATTCTACAATATAACACTTACAAAACCCCATTGAAATCAAGGGTAATTATTAAATTTCAACATTAAACACCAAAAAATAGAAAGCACGTATAATTGAATTCGAACAAACTGTAATTAGCTTAAAAGAGTGAGATTAAATTACCTTGGATTTTGTCCAAAATCTGACCCATTAGCCGCTTAAAGAATAAAAGAAATTTCCCAGTCTTTGAGTTTGCAAGATCCGAAGAAGATGAAGAACCACCTGAAAACAAATGATGTTTAACTTGCTAAATACCCAAAATCACAAAAGTCCTAGATTTTGATTAATTTAATTTAATTTTTAATTTATTGGGGTGCGAAATTTGTGATATTTTAACCAAAAAATTGAAGATGATAGTTTGAATATTTCAGAGGTTGTAGTGTTGTATGGTCCACTGTCCTTACATGTGGCATTATTTAGTAAGTTGTGTGAGTGTTTAGTGAAGCTTCTCTACCTTTGATTATCATTAATCATATCTTCAATTTGGATCTATTTTATTGAGTGCTACTTTGATTGCACGTCTTGTATTTGTATAGATTCCAAATGGGTCCAAGATTATTACTTGTTTCTATTGATTGTAATCAATGCTAATTGCCAAAAGATTCTAATTACAAGTTTTTTACTTTCATAGAAATTTTAAGATGATGTTTAATTTGGTGTGCAAAAGATTTTTCCTTTTATTTGTTTGAATAATGTACTCTAGACATATATAATAAGAACTAGAGATAGTGATACAAATAAGCAAAGAATTCAAGTAAAAAGAATAAATTATATATAATCATTTACTCATTTAAATCTAAACGAGAACAATTTAAGCATTAAACAACATAACAACCAAAGAGAAAGAATCAAACCTTGTACATGCACATTTCAATCCTTCACTCTACTACTTAATTCAATTTCAACTATTATTACTCCTTTAGTCCTTTAACTAGATTTCTATTTCTAACATTTATTTCTCAAATAATAGAGGGAAGTAGGAATCTAATTAAGGGAAGGAAGGAATACTTGTTTTGTTACTAAGCTCTGAGTATAAATTACGAAGTATTTCTCATTTTACATTTAAATCATTTAAAGACCAAAGAGAAAACTGCCATAGAAAGAATAACCCACCCACCCCTCTACAAATCCTTAAGAGGGTGTTTGGTTTACGGAATATAGGTATGAGATATGAGTTTAGAATGACTAAAACCCATATCATATGTTTGGTTGTCAAAAGTATGAATTTTAAACTCATACCTCAAACCCATGAGTTATAGGGTTTAGAAACCTTGGGGGAGGTCAGTTTGGCTCATTTCATTCCCTTAGGTATCAAATAAAAGGAGAAAATAATGAGAGATTCCAAACACATGCTATTAAGTATCAAGTTATAATCCGATACCAGTATACAATTTAACCTTATTCTTGATTCCAAACTCATACCACCGAGCGAACACCCTTAATTGTTCTCCATTGTCCTTTTTATCACTTTTATTCATTTAAATCAAAATTCTCAACATAAATAAAACTAATAAGGAGTATAATCTTGGATACACCTGGGTCTATGTCTATATGTGTGTCAGGGTTCGAGAACAAGATAAAGGTGCAACACTCCGTCCCTCCCCTCTCCTCTAAGGGAGTAGTGGACTTAATGACTAGTATACCAAGCCCAGCAAGAAACAGACCAACAAAGGAGCCCAAAATTCGTCGTCTATCCAATCACCCGAAGCAACTAGTCCGATTTCAGACAATACTACTGTACAAAGATTCAAGCTTTAATCTAAACCCCAATACCAATTCCCAGAAAAACTCTGTTCTCCAGTAAATACACATCAAAGAAGAAACTTCAAGCAATAATGGCTGTCATTTTCTCTCACTTCCAAACACCTTCTATTACCATGACCTTACCTAAAGCTGCTTCTTGCTTTTGCCGCTCCTTATTTTCTCAATCTTCAATTTACAATCATCATCTTCTTTATTACCCAATTCAAAATCCCATTTTTAATTTCAATTCTGGTTGGCAAAGGGTTCGAACTCGGGTCACAAGTTTATCTGAAGCTGCCAGTGTTACTGATGTAATTAGAAGCCCTAATCTTGTTGCTTTGGAGTATTCTGAGCTTAAGCTTCCAATTAATTGCGAGGTTTAATTCTCCCACATTCATTTCTTTCGCTTTTTTTTAACACTTTCCCAGTAATTTCTAGCTTAATTTTGATTATTTTGTTCATGTTATATGGAACTTTCATTCAAAGATTGGTGCTTGTAATTTTTATATGAGACGGACTTACAATAATTTATGGTGAGATTGAGGTTGCCCTTTAAAGAGTGGACTCATACTCTTTGATTGATTTCTTGGTAGCATGAAATTGTTTGTATTGAGTAATTTGATAAAGCAGATTTTCATGGTTATATTATGTGATGTAGGAGGTGGGTAATATTCGAGTCCGGCAGCATGTTAATCCTCTTAGTACAGCATTATCTGTAAGTGTTATTCACTAATTCACTTCCAAATTATGGTTTTTGGTTTCTTAAGTCGTTCTATATTCAGGGTTATTGAGAATTTGAGAGCATTGAAGTTGATTTTATGTGTTAATGCTGCAATTGATAGGTACCAGCAGAGGTGCCTGATTGGAATGATGTGTTTAAAGACTCCTCTTTGCCTCTGATGGTGGACATTGGCTGTGGTATTGAATGCATTTCTTCTAAATATATTAATGCTTCTCATTGGTTTGATAGTGGTTGAATGAGATATCTTACATCGTTTTCAAGTCAAAAACTCTCAATGTACTTGATCATAGAACCAAATTGTTTATCATGAGTTCATGACCTTAGGAGAGATGAAACATCGAAGCAAAGGGAAGATGATGGACTAAAGTCTAAAAGTGGAAGAAAAATTGTGAATGAGGGGAATGGCATAGTATTAACTTAGTATAAGTTATGCTCCATTTTTTAACTTTGTGACATGCAGGCTGTTGTCTCCACATCTGTGTTGCAGTTGTATAGTTAATGTCAATTTCCATACAAGCATCAATTTTACCTTCATACTACTTTTATTTTGCCTCTTCTCCCTTCCTAGAATCCTAGGTGCATTAGTTGAAATTCTTATTGATGTCATTAAGATTTGTGTGACATTTCAGCCTTCAGATTTCTATCAGAAGAGTTTCTAGTTATACATAAGCTATTTTCACCTACTTTGACATCTGGCTGATGCTACTATGTGTGTAGGGACATATTGATCATGAATAAGGTGATGATGGAAGAGTTTTAACTGATTATAGTGGATTATAGAGTCAAGCACACTTAGGTGCAGACGTGCAGTAACCGGGAGGAGAAAATTGTTTCATGAACTTTTTACCCTGGATAACAAGATACCCACATACTTGTCTTGTGTATTTCATTTTTATGACAATTATGATTGCTGTTTTTGTCGCTGTGAGGAAATTGTGTTTTAGTGCCTGACATCATAGTAATTTCAGGTAGTGGCAGATTTCTCTTATGGCTAGCAAAAAGGAACATTGGTTCTAATAATTATTTGGGACTTGAAATACGCAAAAAAGTATGGGATTAGACATTTGGGCTACTTCTTTGGACTTTTGTTTTAGCTACATCTTATTGAACATAATGGATTTATGGTTACTCTGGGAAATTTCTCTACGTGCAGTTGGTGAAGCGTTCGAATTTTTTGGGCCAAAGAACTGAGTCTTTCTAATACGTAAGATTCTGAGACTTATATGGAATATTGATATGAGTTGTTCGCTGACTAATTATGCTGTACTTATGCTTCAGACATTTCATGTTTGCCAATGCTACAATATCTTTCCAGCAGTTGGCATCTTCTTATCCTGGACCGTTGGTATTGGTTTCGATCCTGGTGAGTTCATCTTATCTCAGTATGCTTTCCTTATAGCTGCATCGCCTATTAACGTCATTGCATCGTTCTGTCATAAAAGAGCTTCTTCTGAGTAAACTTGGTCTGTTATTGACTTTATTGGTTGCAGTGTCCAGATCCCCACTTCAAGAAAAGGCACCATAAGAGAAGGGTTTTGCAGAAGCCACTGGTTGACTCCATTGTAGATAACCTAACATCAGGTGGACAGGTAAGTTTTATCTAGCATAGCCCATGCAGCATAGGCAATGGTTACCATTTCATTGTCTATGGTCAATTATCCCAATGGCCTAGATACCTGAATCCCGATTGCTAAGATCATAACCTAATTCGCAATATGTTCAGGGACACAATCATATATTTATGTCTACATAATGAAAACTTAGGGAAATTTAGTTTTATGGCATCCTTTATAACACTATGAAACGATTTTTTCGAACATAGTAATTATTTTTATTCAATTTTTGGGATACTTGGAATCGCAAATTGGTAAGGGGGTTGGTGAATTATTTAACCATGGTGGTGACATCTTATAATTCGGTTTTATTTTCTACTTATCTCTTGCACTGCTTAGACTTTGCCTTTCTTTGCTACCTACAAGCCGAAAGTCTGAATTTTCCCACACCATGCCTGTGGCCTGTGGGGGATTCAGATTTCGTGGTGGCAGCGTTGCTGTTATTGCTTTTACTGTCCTTGAATATGTTGTGCTTTTTACCTACACATGATTACATGGTCAGCCTGCACAGCTCCCACTACATCTGGATTGGACCATTTGTAGGCAAGTTTAAAGGTTAGGATATTGATCACTTCTTGGATTAGTGAAGTTAGAGGGGATCAATGCAGAAAGGGTTAGTATATAAATTTTCTCAAAAGTGGAGAATTTGAAAGCTGATTTTAAGCTTTGAGAGAACTTTTTGTTGGAGATTGACACTTCTACAGAAGTACAGATACTTAACTACTGTACTATGGTGGTACTTCTTCTTTGTGGTCCTCAAGTAGAATAATTTGATTACAACATCCTCAGTAGCTATAAAACTTGTGCAATGCACGAGATGAGGGGCAAAAACAGCTACTATAATGCGCACTTTTAAGACCTTAAAGTGTCATCTTTCTTTAAAATTTCACCTTCTTTTTCCCTCTAGCCACGATTTATTTCCTCTTCCTAGAATTTATTTTAAGGTTGGGAAATGGAGTGAATTTATACTTCTATCTAGGTTATTGTAGATTTCTCCAGCATTCACCAACATTTGTTTGCTTATTTCAATGCCAATCTGCTAGCTTGCTTTTCAAGTCTCTTAAATGATAATTTCTTAGCTTGATACCATATCACAGCCCAGATTTACTCAACTCCTTGGTTTCTGATTTTCATGCTTCAATTCAAAACAGGTATTTGTGCAGTCTGATGTGCAGGAAGTGGCAGTTGACATGAGAAATCAGTTTGATATTGTGCCAGATATGCTACACATTGATGTCATTGACCCTAATTATGGTTGCGATCCTGATGGTTGGCTTCTAAGTAATCCCATGGGGATTAGAACTGAGAGAGAGATTCATGCTGAACTTGAAGGTGCTAAAATGTATAGACGATTGTATCAGAAGGGAACATAATATTATCATCAGTTGAAGCCTGCATTAAGCTCATTCTTTTAATCTGCGTAGATACAGATCACACAGTTGAAGCTTTTCTTTTATTAGGCTCTTCGTTTGCTAATTCTCAGGCTTACATTGCAGTTAGCTTGATTAATACTCCCTCTTTCCTTTTTTTTTTCCACCATGGATCTACTTTTTGTGATAGCTTTTTTGGGGGTCAAATGGTGCAAAAAATAAGGGACAGAGGGAGGTCACAAGCAGAATTTAACTTTGAGTTTGTTTTAGCTCTTTAGGAAGTAAGTTTGCATCACAGAAAGCTTGTACATGTATTCACTAGTGTATCTGTTACTTCTGGTCTTTTATTAAAGAAATTTTTTGCAATCCTATGCATTTTGAACACTTTTGTCCCACAACTCCACAAGCCATGATATATGAAGATGGCATCTGTGATTTAAAGTTTTGGTGAAAACTGCAATAGCTTTGCCACCGTTTATTAGATTTGGACTTCTTCGTGTTCATTACTGAAGAATATAGTGGTGCAGAACACTTCATAATCTTCAGGAATATCAGGATTCCTGTCTCTTTTTAATACAGAGAACTGTTATATTCTTGGGCACAAATTATGAACCCCCTGAAAACAATTTTAGGAGCTCCTGAATGATCTCTCAAGAATTTCTATTTCTATACCAATATAACCTACATTGAAAAATCCCATAATTTCCCTGTCATATGTAATCCAACTTCATCTGTTGCGGGATTTCAATAACAATCCTGATTCTAACTCACTTTTATCAATGTCAATTTTATGTGTTTGATAAATAATCAACAAGAATACAAATATTTTGAACCAAAAATGCCACTTAGCATTTCAAAGCCAAAAAGTTACCTACTGATACAATTATGCCAAGTTCTAAGACTTCTAACACAAATTACCAAAAAAAAAACTAAGTTCCCAAACTAAATACGAAATGAGATACACTCATACAAGTCTAATTCAGGTGTCCTTAATGAAAACAAAAAGATCCTATAAAATCTAAGTATCAAGGCAACATAATGCAAACAATGTTAAAAACTTAAAACAACATAGCCAAAATTTTGCTACAACAAAAAAAATCTAAAGTACTGTTTTTTAGCTACTCTTCTCACCTTCAAGCTTCTTCTTGGCCTTCTGAGCTGCATTTGCTTGTGAATACAAGAACGTTCCGAAGATGGCAATGGCGGAACCTAGAGCATTAAGAGGCCTAACAGGGTTCCTGAAGACCAATACAGTTGCCACAATAACAACCACCCTCTTCATAGTATTGCCCACTGAAAATGTAAGTGGGCTAATCTCATCTAATGCTTGGTAAGATGACTGATTATAGAGGTGATAAAACACCCCAGCTATCAAAACCCAAATATACAATGTCATTGGATTACCAATTGATTCGATCGCTTTGTGATACCCTTGAACCCATTGAGGTCCCTCGACGAAACAAGCAACCGGAAACAAGTAGAAAAAAGAGATTATACTAATCCAACCATACATATTCAATCCATCAACCTCTTTAAAACTCTGTAAACTCTTCTTAGAGTAAATATTTCTTAGAACAAAAGCTACATTGCTAATCAAAGCACCCCACAACCCTTGCAAATTAAAGGACACCTCAGTGACCGCGGCAAGGGAGCACCCAAATACAATGGGGAGGATTGAAAGCCATATCGAAACAGGGTACGATTCGCCTAAGAAAGTGGAGAAGATAACAGAGAAAACAGGCTCAGAAGACTTGATCACATGAGTGAATGAAACAGCAACTTTAGAGAAGGAGACACAAGCTGAGATATGACCAATGGTGTGAAAAAGTGCAGGACCAAGAAGTGCTAAAATGAAGGGTTTGGTGATTTTTGGAGGAGTTTGAAGCTTAAATGACCAAAGAGAAAGCATCCAAATTGAACCCACAAAAAGTTGGAAAGAAGCTAAAAGCCAAGGAAATGGGAAAATGTTCAAAGCTTTTTTGTTATAAATGTTGAAAACAATGTTTTGGAAGTACCATAACCCAAAGACAAGAGCAAGTTTTAGGGTTTTTGATTTGGGATTCGATTCATTGGATTCAGAGGGTAAAGATTCAGGGGAGGTTGAAGATGAACAATGTGGGATCAAAAAATGGGATCTGGGTTTGTTGGGTAATATTGAATTGGTAAATGGGGTTGAAAGATTTCTGGGATTAGATTGAAAATGAATAAGATTTGGGGATGAATTTCTGAGTTTGAGAGTTGAAATTGGGGGAAGTAGAGAACAAGGGTTTTTGAAGGGTTTATGAGAGTTGTTGAGAGGAGAAAGAGAAGAAGAGGGTAGCAGATTTAAAGCAAGCATTTTTGTGGGAACTACTGTAACAGGAGAGAGAAAGAGTGAGAAAGAGGAGAGAGAAAAAAAGAAGGTGATTAAAGTGAATGGTGGAGGTGATGACACAGATTAGGAACTCAATCTAAGGAAAGTTTTAGGGCTTTGGTTTGCAACTTTTGTACTTATATTGACTTTGTGTGGGCTTCAAATAAGATATGCTTCGTATATGCTGGACCTGGTAGCATCAGAATTGGCTACTGGGTTACACACGAGTTTGAGCATAGTAAATGCTCTCGATTAGTCTTAGGGTCTGTTCACATTTACTGAACTGAACTGAACTGATTGGAACTGAGCTGAACTGAACTGAACTGAACTACGCTGAAATGAATATTTTATGAGAGAGGGAAATTAAAAGCTGAACTGAACTGAACTGATTGGAGCTGAGCTGAACTGAACTGAACTAAGCTGAAATGAATATTTTATGAGAGAGGGAAATTAAAAGCTGAACTGAACTGAACTGATTGGAGCTGAACTGAACTGAACTGATTGGAGCTGAATTGAACTGAACTGAACTGAAATTAAGTAAATGTGAACAGGCCCTTAGCTGCATCATGGTGCGGCTATTCTACAGTTATTCTAGCTGTATCATTACCTATAAAATGAACATGTAGTAAAATTTTAGATTTTTTTTAGAGATTATTTGTAAGTGTTGTTTGACTAGCTTTTATTAATGAAATCTTTTTTATTCTAGTAAAAAAAATATATGAACACATAAAAAAATGAATATTCAGTAATAAAAAATGAACACATAAAATAATGAACATTTAGTATTTAAAAAGTGAATATGTTATACATAATGATCATTTAGTATATTAAAAATAAACATGATAATCATGAATTGTAAGACCACGACCTTAAAAATGAATAATTTATAAAAATAATAATAAACATGTAAATAAAAAACACTTAGGGTCTGTTTACTTCAGCTTAATTTCAGTTCAGTTCAGTTCAGCTCAATTCTATAAATGTGAACATGCCCTTAGTAATAAATATTGAACACTTTAAAAATTATTATGAACATAGGTATATTAAAAATGAACATTTATCATACACTTATAGGATAGCTGGAGCACACCTAATAAAATGAACATTTAATATGGAGTATAAATATGTGAACACATTGAGTAAAATGAACATTAGTATTAAAAAAATGAACACGTAAAAAAATTTTGTGAACTATATTGATATAAATTCAAATTCATTGTATATAATTATAAAGGAAAAATAAAGGCAAGATAAATCATTTTAAAATGTTTAATTTTTATGTACTAAATGTTTTAAGTATACCATGTTCATTTTTTTCCAAAAATTATACGCAAATATTAGCAACTTAATTAAAATTTTAGAAAAATCGTGATAGTAAAGAATTCAAGATGCAACAAATCAATAATTCATCACATAAACTCATCAATTAGATTAACACAAATTTTTGTATGTGGCTGGCCACACGGTGTGGTCAGCCACAATTTTTTTTTTTTTAAATACCACAACTCTCCTCTCTCCTTTTTTTCTTAGCTTCTTCTCCAAGCCAAATCATACATCACCAACAACCATATCTCAACTCCACCCATTTTCTCTCTCCTCTTTTCTTAGCTTCTTCTTCAAGCCAAACCACACATCACCAACAACCATATCTCTACTCTACCCATTTTCTCTCTCCTCTTTGCTAAACTGCTACAATTAAAGCCCGAAATTGTAGAAATTGGGTGTCAAATTGTTGTGAAAAATTGTGATTAATTATCCTTAAGATCATGAACATTTGAAATAGTGAAATCGATGAGAAACGAAGAAATTTGAGCTCCTTTTCTTCGTGGAATCTCAAATCAAACATTCTACGTCAAAAATTGTAGGGTGTTACTAGTTTGGTCAGGGGTTACTTGTAGGGTGTTACTGGTTTGATCAGGGGTTACATGTAGGGTGTTACTGGTTTGGTCAGGGGTTACCTGTAGGATGTTACTGGTTTTGGTCAGAGGATACTTGTAGGGTGTTACTGGTTTTGGTTAGGGGTTATGTTACTTGTAGGGTGTTACTGGTTTGGTCAGAGGTTACTTGTAGAGTGTTACTGGTTTTGGTAAAGGCTTACTTGTAGAGTGTTATTGGTTTGGTCAGGTGTTACTTGTTTTGGTCGGGGGTTATTTGTAGGGTATTACTGGTTTTGGTTAGGGGTTACTTGTAGGGTATTACTGGTTTGGTATGGGGCCTACAAGCAACCCCTTTTTTTTTTTTTGAAACCAACCTACAAGCAACCCTTGAATAAGTAACAAGTAACCATTGAATAAGTAATTCATACAAGTAACCTTTGAAGTAACTCATAAAAGTAATCATTGAATAAGTAACTCATACAAGTAACCCTTGAATTAACCCATAAAAGTAACCCCTAAAAATAATTAATAAAAAAAAAGTACCCTTGAAAAAAAATATGTAAGTAACTCCTGAAAAAAAAAAAATGTAAGTAACTCCTCAAAATACAAGTAACCCTTAAATAACTAATCCATACAATTAGTTGCTAGAGGGGATAGGGGGGGGGGGGGAATGAGGAGCTCATTGGGTTTAGTGCTTTCCCTCAAAGTATTGTATCTTTGGCAGAGATGGACTTATCTCCCTAATTAATATATGGCTCTATCTTGCTTTCAGAAAAAAAAAAAAAAAAAAACTAATCCATACAATTATCCCCTGAAAAAAAAATACAAGTAACCCCTGAAAAAAAAAATACAAGTAACTCCTGAAAAAAAAAATACAAGTAACCCCTGAAAAAAAAATTACAAGTAACTCTTGAAAAAAAAAATACAAGTAACCCCTGAAAAATACAAGTAATCCTGACAAAATCAGTAACCCCATTATGCGCGTGAACAGTAACCTCGTTATACGCGCGTCAGAATCCTTATTTTTACTGACTTGGCAGCAGGCCACACGGTGTGGCCTGCTGCACCAAAAAAGCTCTGTTAAATTAATATTTACTCAAAAATTCAATTGAGATATTCTAAGCTAATTCACTATATTCATAAAAAAAAAAAAA